TGTAAAAAGCTAACAAAGAATATGAAACCAACAATCTCAAACAACAAACTGCACTTAATAATTTACCATCATTTGAAGAAAGCATTAACTGATAACAATATCCTGTCTATATTGCTAAAAGTTACAAAATAGCCTGAAATAATTTAAACCCTCACACTTCACTATTCAGTCTAATCATCCTGATTTTGATGCATTTCACCAAACCTGCGATATACAAACATTCTTATTTTAAGTGTAACATTTCCTAAGCTGATGTTAATATGAACATAACATTGTTGCCGTAATTTCATCAGTTTATTATTCTCACAAACCATCTATGTTCATAAATCATTCAAGACCACTACAACTCTACAACCTCTTTAGTTCTCATCTTTATTAATATCAATGATTGTTCCCGCCTTCCTATATCAAGTACTTTAAGTTGTTTGACTGTTAGTTATCAAAATTTCCAGCTCGTTCAAAAAATGATCTTCTAACGATTTTCAACCTTCCCCCAACTTAAAACTAAATGCTAAATATACTTCGATCAAAAGAAAAAAACCCCAAAATGAGGGAAGGTAGAATTACTTAAATTTACACACTCATTGTCTGTCTGAAATAATATGGGGCCCCTTTCTATTGATTCAAATCTGGCTTTTAGACAAAACAAGGGGTTTTAAATAAAAACCCCCTGATAGCCTTCTTACCGTAATTTCCCAGATAGGGATTGCTAATATTAAGCATGCATTCAGGAAATTCCTGTCTTAAATTCATATAGCAAAAAAATCATTTTTCCCAAAGGCATCAATAACCTCTGAATTATTTTCTTAACTTCGTTTTTTTATGTGATATATATAACAAACATATAACAGACATTGGTTTGTAATTTTGATACAAGACCATGCTACTTAGGTATATTGATAATTTTAAGGGATTAAGATATGAAATTGGAGACAGCTGACGGAATTTGGATAAAAAAAAACTAGGAAAATGGGAATACTTGCATAATTTCACAACAAATAAATAAACCTAAACACAAACAATTACACTATGAAACGAAAACAACTTACAGTTTTTGGTCTCTGTATCTTCTTATTTGGCTCAGTTATTAAGTCCCCCATGTCAGGGTCAGTGTTCGGTTCGTTGTTGGCCAGATTATTGCCGGTGGAAAAAGACCAGATGATGGAGTACCTCGACTGGTGTGCTGACTCCTGTGGGCTGACTGGGCTCGTGACCTCTTCCCTGTGGAGGCTGAAATAATACAAGGAAATTGATTATGTTATCTTTTGTTATCTTATGATATCATATTATATTTATATTTCAATATTCCCATACACGCTTAAATCAAAGTTGGAATATACATGTACATACAAATATGTAAAGGTATACTACATTTTGAAATGATGTATGTTGAGCTGGTTTCTTCCTTAGCTAATGGGTCACCAAGAATATTAGATACATAATATTTTTTGGATTTAACTCACTGCAATGTTGGAGCAGTACCTATAGACGTTGGTAAAGATCATGATCACAAAGTAGAAAAATATCACGTTCTTTTTTTACATGTTTAAATCATTACCATATATAAATTGGTGTGAAAAGATGATTTAGACATTTTAGAATGTAAAATAGGATAACAAAAATAAGATCTTACGTGTGGCCGGAGTAAATGCAGACTGGGTTCTACTGATACATGATTCATAATCATACACCTGTAACAATAGGAATAAAATCAATACAATAAAAAAAAACCAAAAGGGTAATTCATTTTTTTTAAATTTAACAAAAATTTATACTTTTTTGTAACCCTTTGTGATAATGTGTTTAAACCCCTATTTTAAATTTTTAAATGATAACCTTTACCACTTTAAACACACCCTTTTATTCACAGATTTCCCTTACATCTTATTCCTATTTATAAATTATTTTCTTTTCTTTTTTTCAAAACCCTTTAAAAAAGTTCTCCCCCATTACACTTTTAATTTTTCAAAGGACTACCCAACTTTTCATTTAGAGATCCTTAAAGCTCATGAAATTCATTCCCAAAAAATTTAAAAGATCATTGTATTTTTGCAATATTGGGCCTAGACCTTAATTTCTCGGTTTTACTTATTTCCTTTATTTTTTTTGATGCACACCCAAGTCTAAGATTAAAGATACACATGTATACACCCCTACTTTTATCAATAAATATTTCCTATGGCCTAGGCTAATATGAATGTTTTTTTTTATTTGCTCAAAAAATGACCCCACCTTTAAAGGATAAATGACACCCCCATCTTACAAAAAAAGTAATATTTAAAAACAATCTATTTATAAAAATCACATATGTAACTTTCCGCAGCTTGTAAAATTATCCCAAACCCTGGGAAACGCGCCCGTTCAGTTTGCGTTATTAATAATTTTTTCCTTTCATTTAATACTTTCCGTATTTTATCTTACCGTGTCGTTCAAGTTTCATCTTTTCCTCCAAGTTTGTAGCCGTTTCCTTGTCCCGTAAAACCTTTCCCAAATGTCAAACACATCAAAGGTCAAAAAGTTATTATGACATTCTAAAAGGGGAAGTCAAAATTTTAGCCAATATATTTCTATTTTTGCAGCATGTCAAAAAAATCTAACTTGAGAAAAATGTACTATGAGTTTAGAAAAAGTAAAAAGATTCAAGATTCAAGTAATAATTTACTTTTTATGTGCAATTAATGAATAATTTTTCAGAATTTATAACTATATCTCAACTGCGTTACTAACACAGTATAAAGGCTATTTTGCATATTTGACCTCTTTTTGGTAATTTACATGGGTTGTAAGTGCCACTGATAATGTGTAAATTGCTTCCTTTTGGTTACTTCACAATATTGCACTTTTAAATACATTTTCAAAATTTTCTTGAAAATTAGCATAAATCTGGAGGCGTGCACTGAATATCAGTCAATACATTTCATCTTCATACTGGCTCCATACTGACTTAACAGGGACTGGAACCATCATTAAGGATGCATTTTTGTTTAAATTAAAAGTATAACTTGATATGAAATCAATAAACAACTGACGGATTGCATTATATATAAAAGGTAAGCATACCAGTTTTTCTATATTTGCCTGTTTGGCTTGTTCCAACTGTCTCTGGCTCCTGGCTTTCTGCATAGCTTCATGTGTTTTCTCTAGTTTCTCCTTTAACTGTAAAATATAAGACAAGGGTACCAATATGTTACTTTTTATAACCTCATTATGTTTACAGATCATAAAATATATTGAAAGTTACATGAGTAGCTAGCTCTTTATTCATGCAGATTCAAAATTATATATCTATAGAAGGTTTCAAGCATCCCCATACTACAAAATAAAGAAAAGAAGAAAAAAGCTTGGAAAGAATGACTAATCTGGTGCATCCTAGGTATTTAAAGACAATGAGTATGTAGACATACTTCAGCATGTGTAAACAATAGAGCTGAAACATGAATGCACACTTACGCGCATGACGACATATAATTTACATCTAGGCAGTTTAGTAATGTCAATGAGTCATCTTAGTGCAATAACTGATTAACTTCTATTAAATTTAGAAGGACTTATTCTATAAGTAAGGTGATGGTCATTGTTTTTATTATAACAGTCTGCATGCAGTATAATTTGGTCAGCTTTTATGAACCTCAATGTAGTCTTTGCATTTTAGCAGCTGCCAGTCATAGCCCTATTGTACTTTAACATCTTGCATTTGACTTAAAGAGATAGGGATTTTGCAAATCTGTATGCAGATATCATATTTTCCTGACTTTAAATTCTCACTTACCTCTTTATCAAGTTGTTTCTTCACATCATTAGCCTCTTTCTGAGCATCGGTGAGGGCTTTCCTCAGTGCTACAATTTGTTGACGTAACAAGATAATCTGTTCCTCAGCCTCCATCCTCATTCCCTCGCATATCTTCTTGTTGTTTTCCGACTCATTTTTCAACTCTCGTATCTGTACCAAAAAAAACAATCATACCATGTAGTAAATGTTGTTTGTTTGCTGAACATAACACCGCTAAATTTGTTAAAACGGATTTGCCCTCCTTTACATGATGTCATGAAAATCTACATATATAGTGTGCCCTCTACTTTGCTAAATATGTCCTTCAATCATTGTAAACAGGAACCAAAATTCTGTATTTCACTCAGTTTCAAAAAGAGTGATATGCTTTATATCTCATTGGCGCTTTTAATATCTCATTAAAAAGCATAATATATATAAACTTACACTTTTAACAAAGTTGACACTATCGTGATTCTGTCTCCACGTCTCATAGCTTTCATTTTCAGTATAAGTGTGTTTAGCACATGATTCTCATGTTTCAGCTCTCGTAACATTTCTGACTTGGCCAATGATCTGTCAGCAGCTGACTCTTCTGAAAAACAACAACAAAAGAAATGTCATGAAATTCAACAGGGTTTTTATAGGATCATCTTGATCAGAAACTTGTATATGACCCAAGTGGATAATACCAGACAGGATCTGACGAGGCGGCGTGGCCCGAGTGAAATCAACTGTAAAAAAAGAAAAAAAAATTTCCCATAAAAGTGTCAGGGATCAAGATACTCCTATAATATTCATCATATTATTATGCCCTTTCTGAATTTAAACCCATATGTTCCATCAGAACCCAATTGGCATAATGCCAAAAAACTATTTACCTTGTTGCTAACATAGGCGATGCTCTATGGTGGTTAAATCTATAGTGTACTCTTACTTTGGGAAAAAATTTTAAAGTCTGTTGTTGTAAAAAGATTTATGCTCTTCCGAGGGCTGCTCCCATAGGTTGCACTGTACAAGTAATTCAAAAATAAAATTTTATAAACAAAACTCACCTTGTACTTCCAAACTTTCTCTAACATACTCATACTTTTAACGCTTCTCTTCCGTGATTCTCCCGATCTTTTCAAAAACTATCGTCATGAAGTTCATTTCTAAACTCATCAAACTTATTTTTCAGGGGCAAATGTTTAGCTAAAAAGTTTTTTTATAAGTTCATCATATTCCTGTCTCATCGTTTAGAATCCCCTCTGCTGTTGAAAATCATCTCTTCATCTCGCAACCTTGGGCCCTTAAAGGGAGTAATTTCTGTTAAAAACAGGTAACAATTAAAATTATACACTTGTTCCTATGAAAAGTAACAAAATTTTGACTTTAATTTTAATAATTACGAGTGTCACATGAGGGATAATGAGATTTTGAGGTTTAAAACCAAAATTTTAGAGAAATTTATAAACTTAAGTCTTTCCCGACTTAAGTCGTCAAAGTCGATATGCATTAAAAGGTCAGATTATCATCTCTCGAACATACTCTTACATGAATAAATTTCTGAAATGATATGTTTCACTAATAACAGACATGTTGCAATGGCAGCAAAACAACACTTTATAATGTATGGTAAGGATAAAGTATGATAATGGATGGTAAGGATAAAGTACTGAGAATTTAACTCACCCATTATAAGGTCATGACCTTGGTTTGCCAACTGGCATTGTACTTCTACCATTACATTCTGTTGACTCGTTTTGATCTGTTCTTTCATCTGTTTAACCTCCTGATAGTAATTATATAAAACACGTCAAATTTATACCATCATTTATAAAATATTAAAAATTAATTGATCAATCTGCTAAGCTGAGTGGTTGGCACATCAGACTAGTAATATAAGAATCGCTAGCCACATGGGTTCACACCCCATCAGGGGCAAGCCGTTGTTTCCTTTAATAAGAAAAATTTACATTCATTACTCAGTACTAGTTGGTTCAAGAATGAATTTCAAGAGTGTTTCTAAAAACCGTATAGCTTCATAAACAATCAAAACAAAAATAATTTCTGTATAAACTAATCTGCAAGGAAAACAATAACATCTTCACTAAAAAATCATAATCTCAAATAGAACAATGAAAACTACTTAACTGTTATCAAAATTTGGCAAGTTTTTTCTAAAAATAATGCATCCACATTCAAACAAAAGCATTAGATAAAAAGATTTAATTTTACACTAACCTGTTCTTTCTGATAAAGATTTTGGTGTAAAGACCTCAGGAGATTCTCATAATACATAGTGTAGCTATCAAAGTTACTTTTCTCTCTTCCCATCACCGCACGTGTGAGGTCAGCCACGCACGAGTTGAGGTGTTTCCTGGAGAAGATCACCTGATCATCATTCTCCTCGCAGTGTGACATCAGCTTCTCGTAGAACGACTCAGTGACGTGCGGCTTGGCGATAGTGAAGCTTTCTTTCATAACCTATCATATGAAATCAGACATCAGAAGAGTTATGGGTCTTGTGAAGTGACCATCAGTGCAGACATGAATTAAGTTTTAAGTGAAATATCATTATATGTTTTAAAGATAAATGTTTCACGCGCAAAGCTTAAAATCAAGAAATTTCTCAGTTCAAAAGGTTTTTAACTGAATCAAAATTGAATAGTCAAGCTTAAAGCAGCTTTCAGCTTTTATTTTCTGTTGGGGAAACAATTCTTTGTAGTTTAAAACTAAGTATTTCAGTAATTTCATCTTGGAAAGTGCAACATATTACTGTTAAACCTTCTTCAAAACGGCATCCTGAGAGCTATTTATAATGCGTGAGTGACGTTCATGTCTAATAATTGAAGATAAGGAAAGAAATTGTCCACTTTACTAATTTAAATATAGAGTACAAATGAGTAGATTAGAGTTTCTAGAGAGGTTTCTTTATTGTTTATGTATTTTAACGCTCCAAGATTTCATTTTCCATCTAAATTCTTTTGATTTGACAATTATATAAAACAAAATTTAAAGTTGAAAATCTGAAAATTGTCAGAAAACTGTATTGAGCCTGGTCAGATTGCATGGATATACAGGCTGGTCTGGCTTTTTACCAGCCAAAAAAGCTAATCACTTTCGGACCAAGCAGGTCACGGGATAATATAGGTACCAAGAACCAAAAAAAAAAAAATCTTTCTGTTACTTACAGGTCTCTTCCATAGATCTGTAGGCAGTGCAGTTTCCTCTATCCTCCCTCTCTCAGCCAACACGAGGGTCAACTCGCGTGCCATCTTTTTCCTTAACTCAGCTATCATGTGACACTCCATGTTCTCAAACAGTTTTACAAGCTGTAATTACAAAATTACACAATCATGCAATATTGAATACCAATTTTATTTACATCTGTAATTTTCTGTCTGTACAATAGTATTAACTGCAACGCACTTTGAGTATCAGAGATAATTGTTTCAATGTGAAAGAAACCATACTTCATACAAAAGCCTTGATAAAAAGTCAACTTCAAACTTTCTTGGTTGGTTTTTATGGCGCACCAACACAATGAAGGTCATTTGGTGAATTTCAAGCTTTACTGGTGGAGGAAGACCACAGGTGCTGCTCTGTGCATTATTTCAGGCACAAACTGCCACCTAAATAGGCAATCAATATTCTGTAAGCTAGCCTGATAGCTTCCTAACATGAAAGAATTCAAAGTCTCTGACCGGATTCAAACTCATAACATTGAGGGGCAAAAGGTTTGAAGTCAACAATCTTAACCACTCAGCCATAGATGCCCCAAATTTTGCACTCCACCTTTATGTTTTGAATCCTAGACTATCAGGCTTGCGTACACAAGACTGAAGTTTACTACACATGTGCTGCCTTTGCCTGACCAAAAAAAAGCGCCAGAGAGGCATCTGTTATCTTCCTCCACAACTAGAAAGTATCTTTTTGTTTAATTCATAAAGCACTCACAAAAACATTTTACAATTTTACAATAGCACCATAGAAAAATCTTTTCATGTATAATAAAATAGGCATTCAAAGTACAAGAAGTAAAACAACAATTAACAAACTATTCAAATCAAGTGAAATACAAACCTGTTTGGCTCTGACTTCAATTTCCGAGGCTCCTCGTGGCATGACAAGAGGATCTGTATCCAAGGCAATACCCTCATACATTTCACCTTGACCTAGTCTCCTAGCAACACTTTGTAATACTGGCAGTAATACTTCTGTTTTATACACCTTACTGAAATTATAGATACTACAATATAATATTAGCTGATTAACCCTAAGAAAATGCTTATATCTTTATTTCTCAAAAGCTTTTTATTGTTGGTGTATGGTTACAGTTTCCAAAAAGTTACTCTTTGTGCTGAGCCACCGTTTGCTTCTTTGGTCTTTGGGCAATTAATACAGTTATAGTGAATAAGTATTTTGTATGGAAGTCAAAATACCACTTTGTTTACATTTTGCTACTTTTATGACAAATTATTTCACATTCAGCTTCATTTTCTTCATGTGATAAGCTTCACACATTCTTTAACTTTCAAATCCATTACTACAACATTTTATAAAATACATATTAACTTGTTCTACAGAATGATAAATAAGCTCAAAAGCAGGCTGGCCTGGAAGCACAGGCTGGCCTGGCTCTATTCTGGAGGCAAAGGCTAATCATGTTCGGTTCCAGCACAGTAACGGTTTAATACCTTATGTTTAAACAAACTCACCAGAATTCTTTGTACAGTGACATTGACTCTATACTCTCCACTCCTAGTTTCCTCTTTCCCCAGTCATATTTCAAATATTCTAAACATTTCCATAGCAATAAGAAGAACTTTAACAACTTGTAAGCTTTAATTGGCTCATTTGTCCTCGACAAGCTTACATTCTGAATTGCTGAAAAATAATCAAATTTTCATTCCTATTTATATATGTAGAAAGGTAGGACAGAAAAAATTTGTTTAGACAAATTAATTTTAGATTGATAAGGATTGTGTTGGAAGCTATAAGCTTATTGAAACACTTTCAAATCAATTCCTGGGATGAACCAGTATTAAGCAATGAATGTACCCGGTAGTTTCTTTCTCATGGGGTATAAACACACGTGGCCTGCAATCCTTATGATTTCTAGTCAGACGTGTTAACCACTCGAGCACGCCAAAAAAAATTAACAGCTGTTCTCTAAAGCAACCAAACATTTTTAATATGGGCATACAAAATATTTCAATAAAACTTTACATGTATTTTAAATTTTATCTTAATAATTTCAGTTATTCAACTTTCAAGAATATTTTTAAATATTGAAACACCCTATTTAAATCTTTTTGCCAGGATTTAAACTAGTCATTCAAAAAATTATATCGTCACCTAAGTGCAGTAATGGGTTAAGTCCTTCTTAATCTAATAAGAGTTAACCAGTTATTGCACTAAGGTGACGATATATACAACAAAGACATAAATACATACGCAATTTTGAAATACTTCCTAGTGTGGCAGATCCCCGTTTCTCGCTGATTTTGATGCTAGCAGACCGTGGCTTTCTTTCCTTGGCTTTGTCCCCTCCCTCACCATTGGTCAGGTGATCTGTGAGCAGGGAAACATCCTGGAACCCGGTCTGTAGTACGTCTTCCATTAACAATGTCACGCCGAGGATTTCTCCATTAGCAACATGCCTGATAAAATGTAAAATATAAAATATAGTTACAAATCTTTCCTTGTGAATATGATCTCTTTGTCATATGGCAGACATACAAGGTTCTACATTAACCCTTACCTTGCTAAATATCTTAAATGGACTTGTTATGGACTTGTTAATTTTACAATCTGGACAAAACCACTCATCATTTTTAGGGAAAATTTCAAAATATATATTCGCTGATTTACAAACAGACTGCAGACCCATAATGATCTTTGAGCATGGAAGTGCCATCTGATCTTGATTCCCACTGCACTGATCACGTAGTAAACAGAATCAATTGTCACTAGCAGACTAAGAGTTAAACAAGCATGAACTTAGTTAAATCTAAGAAAGAAAAAAAAATGAAAGAAAAAGAAAATGGTTTAAAAATGCAAGATAATATGATGAAATTATGTATGTGAAATATGGGTCTTTTTACAATTGCTTCAAGAATATGATAAATATATGAAGATATACTTAAACAAGAAAAGAAGCTTTTTCAAAATTTACATTCTTTGTTGTTTAAAGAGTGAAAAAGTTTCGAAAAATTTCAGTATTTGTGACCTAAATTTGAACTGTGTCCCTCTAAAAATCTTATTCAGTGGCCTCTAAATGTGTCCCTAAAGAAATTTGTTCCAGTAGCAACAATGTACAGTATATGTTGTATTACTATTCTCAAAATACTTCTAAAATAAATGGTTTTAAATAATATATATAATTTTTACATTAATTTAAAATACAAAAGCATAATGTTCACAAATAAATGGTTTTAAATAATATATATAATTTTTTCATTTAAATTTAAAATACAAAAGCATAATGTTCACAAATAAATGGTTTTAAATAATATATATAATTTTTTCATTAATTTAAAATACAAAAGCATAATGTTCACAAATAAATGGTTTTAAATAATATATGATTTTTTCATTAATTTCAAATACAAGAGGGCCATGATGGCCCAAAGTCGCTCACCTGTATATAGGCCCCTGGAGCGGGGCCAGTTTTAACCCCAGGGCTTTTATTTGAAAAAACTTGGTTGTATATGTATGCATGTAATATAATATATATATATATATATATATATATACATATATACATATATATATATATATATAATATATATATATATATATATATACATACATACATACATACATACATACATACATATATATATTATATACATAATATGTATATATATTATATATGTATATAATATATATATATATATATTATATATATTATATATATATATATATATATATATATTTTATATAAATATTAAAATATATATGTGTATATATATAATATGTATATATCTAAAAAAAAAAAAAGTCAAGCTAAGGAATGACCCCCGGGGCGGGGCCAATTTTTGACCCCAGGGCTTTTATTTGAACAAACTTGGTAGACACCCATGAGAACATGTTTCATGCTAAATATCTTAGCTCTAGCTCTTTGGGTTCTTTAAAAGAAGATTTTTTTAAGTTTTTTACTATATGCACATAGGGAAAATCAATGACCCCCGGGGACGGGGCCAATTTTGACCCTAGGGCTTTTATTTGAACAAACTTTGTAGACACTCATTAGAAGATGTTTCATGCTAAATATCTTAGCTCTAGCTCTTTGGGTTCTTTAAAAGAAGATTTTTTAAGTTTTAACTATATGCATATAGGGAAAAAATCAAAGACACCCTGGGGCAGGGGCAATTTTTGACCCTAGGGCTTTTATTTGAACAAACTTGGTAGACACTCACTAGAAGATGTTTCATGTTTTATATCTAAACACTAGCTATCTGGGTTTTTTTCAAAGAAGATTTTTAAGTTTTGCTATACACAGTCATATAAGGAAAATCAATGACCCCCGGGGCGGGGCCAATTTTGACCCCAGGGCTTTGATTTGAACAAACTTTGTAGACACTCACTAGAAGATGTTTCATGCTTAATAGCTAAACTCCAGCTATTTGGGTTTTTTTTAAAGAAGATTTTTTTAAGTTTTTGCTATACACATATAAGGAAAATCAATGACCCCCCGGCGAAAGCCAATTTTGACCCCAGGGCTTTTATTTGAACAAAACTTAGTAGACACCTATTAGAACATGTTTCATGCTAAATATCTTAGCTTCTAGCTCTTTGAGTTCTTTAAAAGAAGATTTTTTAAGTTTTTACTATATGCATATAGGGAAAATCAATGACCCCCTGGGGCGGGGCCAATTTTGACCCTAGGGGCTTTGATTTGAACAAACTTGGTAGGCACTCATTAGAAGATGTTTCATGCCAAATATCTAAGCTCTAGCTTCTTACGGTTTTTTAGAAGAAGATTTTTTTAAGTTTTTCTTATTGGTTGCCATGGCAACCAGAGTTTTTAATGGAATTTAAATTTTTGAACAACTTTGAAAGGGGTCCAACTAAGGATCATTTCTGTAAAGTTTGGTTGCAATTGGCCATGTAGTTTAGGAGGAGATGTTGTTTGAAAAGTTTGACGCCATTTTTTGAAGGACGCACGACGCACGACGCACGACGGACGCAGAGTGATGACAAAAGCTCACCTTTGAGCACTTCGTGCTCAGGTGAGCTAATAAAAGCATAATGTTTACATATCTGTTCTTCTTTTTAATTAATATACTTAATGTCTTTGTAAAAACAATCCGACATTTCAGAAAATGAATACTATATAAAAATATAAAGATATATACATATAGTATATAAAAATATAAAGATATATACATATAGTATATAAAAATATAAAGATATATACATACAGTATATAAAAATATAAAGATATATACATATAGTATATAAAAATATTAAGATATATACATATAGTATATAAAAATATAAAGATATATACATATAGTATATAAAAATATAAAGATATATACATGTTATTAACACAATGATGTTCTTATCTTGAAATCATATGCATACAAATATGCAAATTTTTTTTTTATCTAAAATGTTATTACCACACAAACAACATTACATTTTGATGTTGTCGCTATTGACGTCATGTGAGAAACAATGCTGAAAGAATTTCCTGTTTATTATTTATTTATGTACACTGAAGAAGGCTGTTCAGCCGAAATGTTTGTAAATTTAAAAGGAATTTTAAGTCAACTCCTTTATTTTAACTCATAATTTTTCACACAAACTACACATTAACTACAAAATGAAAGTAAAAACTACTACACAAAATGGTATCAAAACAGCTATCACGCTTTCATACACACATTTTGTACATAGCAAAAATGAAAATATTCTATATACGAAAAAGCAACATTATTTAAGACATGCAAAGCATGGGGATAATTAAAGAAAAAATTTATACAAAAAAGGAAACAGTACATTTGAAAATAAAACTTAAAATACTAAGGTCTTGTGCAAATGGATCTTACCAAAGTCTGAAAAATACCACAAGCATGTGTAGAAATGAAGTATAAAAGCAATAATTTTGTTTTTTATCTCTTTGAAACCTAGTGTCAATTGTGACATACAAGAGCCACCAGTGTTGAGCTATGGCCGGTCTGCAAATATTTGCAGTCTGACAATATTTTCTAATGTTGTTTGCTTAATTTTTTTTTATATGACATTCCATCACATTTCCAACAGACAAAAGCAGGACAAAAATTCAGTATACTAGTATGAAAGACCAGTTGGGACATATCAACTTCATGAATTTCTGATTTCATCTTCCTCAATTAACAGTTATAACTTCATAAATTCACGTTTTCAACATACGGAATTAAATAATTTATGATTTCAACTTCATGAATTTGCAATTTCAACTGCATGAATTCACAATTTCAATTTTCTCAAATTCATAATTTCAACTTCACAAATTTTGCAATTTTAACTTAATGAAAATCGCAATTTCAACTTTAAAATCAATCGTGACTTCATAAAGTTGAAATCGTGAATTCATGAAGCTAAAATCATGAATTCACAAGGTTGAAATTGTGAAGTTAAAAAGCGTGAATTCATGAAGTTGAATTTGTAAAACTGAAATTGTGAATTTATGAAGTTGAAATTATGAATTTGTGAAGATGAAATCATGAATTCATGAAGTTAAAATCATGAATTTGTGAATTCTGTCTGTAGAAATTGTGAGTTTATGAAAATGAAACCCAAAATTAAAGAAATTGAAATGTCACCACCGGTCTTTCGTATACGTACAAGTGTTAAAATTAAACCAGCCCAAATTGTAATGGATAAATTTGGAATAGACAATTCAAAATTTTAGTTCAAATAATTGTACTGGAGCTGAAATATTGTGCTACTTTGTGTATGGGCAATATCTACCTTATAAAGGCGAGACTCTGACCCAGAATCAAAATATCTCAGAATCTAAATTTGGCACGCCAGAACAATTTGACTATTCAAAATACAAAAAACTGAGCTACCATCAGTACCGAACCTGGTCCTTCTGCACGGAATTATAAGCCGACCTCAGCAAAGACTAATGACTTTCTGTTTCAGCAGATTAAGTGTAGAGGGACATTTTTATATGGAAAATATGATTTTTAAAAAACAAATTTTAATAATTATAATGGCAGCACTATTATGCTGATGCATGGTAAAGAACTAAAATTCAAACATTTCCTTTTTAGCAAAATTTTCAGAGAGACAGTTGCTTTTAGTAATGAAATTTGACAGGTATGAAATCATCATGAAAATGAAAGAAAAAAAGTAAAAATCCATAAATTAAAATAAAGCCATGTTTAATTTTAATAATTAATTGTCATACATAAATCTTAATGTCTAAGTAGCTGAGAAAAAAGATGAAAAGCAGCAAGAAAGTTAATGTTAGCCAAGCTGTTGACTGACACAGACACTAACAGTCCACACAAAGTTGCAAAAAGTAACTCTGCTAAAATAGCCAGTAATTCTGCTAAAATAATTCAGGTGAAGCACATTGATAAGAAATACAAATTTCTGTACAGCTTTAATAACATCCTGAGAGTAGCTAGACATACAGGTAAAGCATGAAAAATTAAACTGCAGCAAAAACTCAAGTGAACCACAGATAAAATGTGTGGCCACTGATAAAATGTGTGGCCACTGATTAAATGTGTGGCCACTGTTTACATGTACATGGTCACTCAGGATCTTTTCCATTTGAATAACCTTGGTTTACTATAAATATCTATATTTCATCACTAAAATTATATGCAAACAGAACAATATTGAAACCTTATAATCATTTAACTCTTACCACCCTAAGTATCTTAAATGGACTTGTCCATCTTTCAATTTTGACAAAGCCATTATCAGTTTTAGGAAAAATTTCAAAATATGAGCTGACTGACTTTAAGTGAACAGTGCAGACGGTGACCATGATCAAATATGGCATGGATGGATGCTGGCTGATCTTGGGTTGCACTGGTCACATGGGAAAGAATCAGTTTGCTGCAAGCAGGGTAAGGGTTAAATACAGCCTGATGCAAATAAATTAAATAACAATGCTTCCTAAATCATTGTGACACAACATTTATTTGTGGTAAACATATTCTACAAGAGCAATCAGTGATCACATGTGTCGCCTCATGATAGCCAATTGCATGTTGCTGCTACTGTGTAGCAAGAGACACAAAAATCATTAACAGGGAAAAACGCTAAAAATCATTCAACTGGAAATCCCATTAAATATGTACAAGTATTTGACAAACCTATCAATCTGGTATAGTTTCATTCAAATTGCATTAGAAGTATTATGCAGAAAAAACAAGAATCTACCAAGGCTCCTGGATGCGTTTTTTGATGAAGTTAAAACTTTGTAGTCAGACTTTAAGGCAAAATGTGTTTACCCTTAGTCATGTCCTTGACACTCTGTCCACTCCTAATTTCGCCTGAAGATGGAGCTCCAGTCAAATAGCAAATATACAACAAGCCCAAAACACTGGCAAGTAAATGAAAGCACAGTGTGTGCAAAACTACCTTTTTTTGTAAGTAACCCGCAACTATATGACCCCATCCCGAATCCTCATTCCTGGCTTTGTTCTCACAATCCATACAAACTTTTTACTCCAACTTTTTAAAGGCACATTATGCCTGAGATATGCTATCTTTTTTATTTCTCAAAAACTTCTTATTTTTGGTATCTTATTACAGTTTCCAAAAAAATACTAATTTGCCACATAGATGGACCATCTTTAACTTCATTTTCTTTGTTGGCAATGGGCATAATCATAGTGAATGAGTATTTTGTATTGTAGTCAGAATACTACTTTGTTTACATTTAGCTACCTTTATGACACAATAATTTACCGCATATTCAGTGCAACTTTCTTCAGTTGTTAAACATCATATATGCTCTAAATCCATTATCAAAACATTATTAAACTCATCTTTGACATTTCTAAAGAATTTTAATTTTTTTTATAGATTTCTGAGGCATAATGTGCCTTTAACATAATTTTAGGCACTTATAACGTTGTATTTATTATAAAACATATTACCTATCAACGTCTTTTAGGCCCGCTAAACATAGCTGTATATAATACTCTATCATAGACCACTGCCAGAACATTGTAGGAAAAGGTCCATTCCTGAAATAATACAAAACAAAATATGTATTAGATAAAGATATAACTTTCACCAGAATCAACCTTATTTATAATTAATCTTACTTTCAAGTATCATATTTTAGTCCATTCAATCAATAACGAAATTTTAAGATTAGAATCTGAAAAGCTATTAAAGAAATATGCCCAGAATTAAATTTAAAACATAATTTTTTATACTTATAGCCCAATTTGAGCATTTTACACTCAAAAAATGATGATTCAGGAAATATGGGAGAGGGAAAGATCTGAAAATTTACATACTACTTATTGGTCTAGACCTTAATCAGATGATACAGAAATGTCGGAAAAATATTTCCAGTCCCTTCATGTCAAAAAACCTAACTGGAGTACCTTTAATTCTAAAGTTTCCCTAAAAATGATAAATGGTTTTGTCCAGACTGAAAGATGGACAAGTCCATTTAATATATTTAGGGTGGTAAAGGTTAATTGTTATTTGAGGATGGTGTTTTACCTTCCAAGGAATGTTCGGTTTGGATATAACTCCTTGGCCGACAGATCTCTAAACTCGAGAGGTTCTGGAACATTCAGGTACATACAGAACAAAGAGGGACGTTGAACGTTGCTCAGTGCCGGCAGGGAATGATGCATGTTGTTCACAATAGACTGGAATAGATAAATAATATATTTACTTAATATATCAATAGATATTGTATAATTATAACAAATGCACGATTTTGATTGGTTAAGACAATTCATATAAGGTCTGTAAAATCACATATTGACTTGCAGAGAATAAACTGACCTGTGACATCATAATTTAATAATTTCATGTCATGAAAGAGATATGATGATGTCATGCTACTAGAATCAGTCAGAATCAACATCAGTAAAAGTATACAATTATCACAAATGAAGCTCTGATAATTGTATAACAAAGTATTGAAGAACAAATACAGTATTTATTTCAATTTCTCTAGGTTGAGTCATCATAAATACATATAAAATAACATTTCATTGTCCCTGGGTATAAAGTCATCATAATGCATATAAAATGACATTAGCTGCAAACTCATAACTTGAGATGCCATAAATATTGGCTAGAAATGCCAAAGATCTCATCTCAGCCTATATTAATCAATATCTAAGTTAGAAAGTTTTGCTTTTGGCTGGTTTTTAAGTCACATAAACAAAGCTCAGATCATATGGCGACATTTCAGATTAAATGGAGGAGAAAGACCTTAAGAGCCCCATGCATTATTACAGGCATGACCAAGCACCATGCAGAGTTAAATTGCTCAGACCTTTTTAAGGTATCTAGATAGATTCCTTACATATAAGATTTCTAAGTTCATTGTAAGATTCAATATATTATTTGTTTGTTTATTTATTTACTTATTATATACAGATTATATCACATGTTTTAACATTTCTCAGCAGTCAGTCCACATTTACCGACTTTCCTGGATAACTAATCGGTAATTACCAATTTCTCTGCAAGTGACCAATCTTTATTTACGCATGATTTTTAAATAAGGATCCAATACATAACATTAATGATAATGATAAATAGATTTTGATAAATATGATCATTTGAAAACTGGAAATAAATATTAATTCTTATCTTTATCCAAAACATTAGTCATTAATATAAGATTTTTTTTTAATTTCATACATAATTCTTTTTTCTTACAAATTTGTGACAACCACTATACCTCAAAGTATACTAATTAAAACAATATTTTCATAAACATTCAAATCAATGTAGTTTAATGTTCCTGAAAAGTTTATGACAACATATTATCATTTAATGGATACATGATAAAGGGAGAAAGGGGAAATAACCCTTCACCAACCATTTCCAAGTGATCAATACACCTATTTCATGTGCTTCGAAAATGATCATAGTGAATACTATAATAAAACTGTTATAATGTGGTTTGGCCACCTGTTTTGAAAAAAAAGATAACTAAAAAAATAAAATATTTCTGTACATGTATTTCTATTATGATATAAATATTCTACAAGTAAACATTGACATCTAAACGGTGAACATTTGACAAAACAGTGGGCCTAGTGGACAAAATCACTGTAAAAACACTGTGCATTCATCTGTATCTAGTTAAAATCTATCTCATGGAAAACTTGACATTTTCAGAGAAAATTTGTTACAATTCTTGGTTCTTCAATAAATGCAAGACCTAGAGGTCATACAACTTGTTGAGTGATAAATATACAGATCTACACCACATGCATTTAATCCCGGTAAGTGTAAACATCCCACGCAATGTGACCAAACTCTACAATTTTTTTATTACATTATCTCAGGACAAACATTCTGATACTGAAATCTGCAAAAAATTTAATGTACTGTCCTAAATTCAAAACAGGCTATGTCAATCATAGGTTAAACAGAGAAAAACAGAATCCTTTAAGATAGTCCAAAATGATAAAATTGAAAATGTTGCAGGCTCTGTTTAATTTCTTATATGAAAATCTTAAATAAATTAACATAATTATCATTAGAAAAAGAACCACTTGAAAAATCATATGTAAAAGGATTCATGCAGGCTTTTTGAGGGTTGGGAGGGATGTAATAATTCTTATTCCTGGTGTGTGTCCGTGAAAATCTTCTTACAAACATTTATTTTACAAACATATATCTTTTTTCACAAACATAAATCTTGCAATTATTCAGGGTTTTGAGAAAAATCTATTTTCAAAGTAGCAAAAAAAAACAATAACAAGCAACCAATGGAATAAAAAAAAACTTCTGGCAAAATCTGTGATACACACTCACCTGCAAAGTCTTTTTAAATAAAAAAATAAAACAAAATTTTTCAAAAAAAATCAAATTTTCCAAATAAAATTTAAACTTACATACATGTAATACATTCAAATTACAAGAATTTTCAACCCTTTGCCTGATTGAATCTACCCATGTAACCAGTGCTGACCATGGTCAGCCGGCACATTCATACCGTCTGCTGTCTGATCATGGTCTCCACTGTTCACTTTTCAGTGAGTACATATTTTGTAAAATTTTCCCTAAAGATGACAAGTGGTATAGTCCAGGTTGAAAGATGGACAAGTCCATTTAAGATATTTAAGGTGGTAAGGGTTGAACATGCTTGGAATGAATGTGCTATGTATCATTTAATACATTATATTCTTGCATATCAGACCGGATCATCTACTGTTTACATAGGTGCTTAAAAAAGCCTGTCTTACACCCCCATGTAAGACAAGTTGCGTGTTTTAAATGAGGTCATTCGGCTTTACGCTTGCCATTTTATAATTGTTGGGTTCTTTGGATGATGTCATTTTGAAGCAAGTTGTAAATTCAAACGATACAATAAGAAAAGTGCCCAACGAAAATATTAGTTTTCATAATTTCTTTGAAATATCATTAATTTGTAATATGCAAGAAAAAGAATCAAACACTGGCTGCCAGTACAGACCAGAATATCAAGCTCTCAGCTAACTGTTTTTTGTAAACTTGGCAGAGCCTGGTTACTGCTGTATAAAGTTACCCTTGAGCAAGATTTTCTGGTCTGTACCGACAGCCGGTGTAAGATACTTATTATGTATGATCATAATTTATCACCCTAGTAAAAAGCTGTATCATTGCGTATCTGGATTTCTAAAGAATATATACTTTGATTTAAAGTTAAGAAATATACTAGAAAAAATCTTTAAAAATACACTTGTACAAAAAAATCTTCAAATTGAGATTTAGCACCTGTAACAAAATAACAAATTTTGTTATTTTAACTTGAATAAAATTGGTTGACCTTACATTCATAAGAACAGGCATGCCATCAATTTTTTTTCCAGATATAAAAATATATATAAATATATAAAAGAAACCAAATTTTTTTTTTCAGTAATTACATTAATGATGAAAAGCATTAATGCAGCATTTGCAAGTAGGCTATGTTAGAAAATCATGACTTAGATTACCGAAAAGCTCAGAGCTTCAGCATAAGCACTGCATTTAATATCTACACATGTTGAATGATCGATCTTCATCAGAAGGTATTTCCTTACAAAAAATTCTTTACTCAACATTATTAAAAAGAAAACAACCTACATTAGATTAAATGTAAAACAGCCTTGAATATTGTCACCTTAGTGCAAAAACGGGTTAACTCCTATTTAATTTAGAGGGACTTAACCCATTACTGCACTAAGGTGACGGTATAGCTATCTGAGATAACCAGTACCTTATAAGCTTGTATATTTCCTGTTGATAGGAACGTATCTGCCATACAATGTCTGACGGCTGTGTCAAACTCGAGGAACATGACGTCCCGACGTAGGTTCATGTATTCAGACACGTTACCAGGGTCGGTGGGGAACGGAAGGTTATCAATCTGCTTCTGTATATCCCTCAATTCAGCACCTAAAATATTAGTTAATTAATTAATTAATCAATTAATTAGATTAGTAAATATTTCAATCAACCAATCAATCAGTCTTTCAACCAACCTACCAATTAATCAATCAATCGATCAATCAATCACTCATCAATTACGATGCTTTATCTTAACAGTCAATATTTTAACTGATTTTCTTGTACATAATTATAAAACTGTTGTAGAGTTTGTTGTATTTAAGTTAAACAACAAATGAATGGTGTTTCTACAGTCTTTTATATTAAAGGAACTCCACTTAGTTCAAGGTACTTGAAAAAGAAAGACATGCAAAAGATAATTAAGAAATATATGCAACACTTTTCAGTTTTGGGTCATTTTTCACAATCAAAAGTTATTCTGGAAAAAATGGAGTGAGCAATTGATCTAAAATTTTGCACAAAATTCACTGGTGTAGATCTTCATCAAATGGAGCATTAATCTCAAAAAATTATTTCCAGTCCCATCATGTAAAAAAAAACGCAGTTGAGTCCCTTTAATGAACCTTGAGCATGCTAGTGTACAGAATTCAAATAACTTTAAAAGGTACATTGACTATCATTATTTTAACTTACCAACACCTTCCGTACCACCCCAATCCGCAGTAACAAACTCCATTTTCTGCGAGCCTAACCTTGCATGCGAGCTACCCAGTCTCGAATGTGCGCACAAATACTGTAACATATCGTGAAGCGCGGCTACAATCATCAAACAGTAAGATAGCGCCCTCTTACACTGCTCGTCATCGAGCGTTTTAAACATGATCAGTGTCTCTGTATGGTGAGGTATAAACCATATGTTCAGTACATGTTTGCCGTCAGGGGAGAGAACTCTTCTTGGACGCTTCCTCATTACTCTGTAAAGTAAGATTTGATTAATACAATTTTGTCATGTTAACGGTTGTGAAAAGGGTTTCTGTTTTTGTCCTTAGAAAAACTGTGTAAATAAGAAAAATAAAAGTCAACTGGTGTAGGATTTTAATAGTTATTTTGTATAAAAATGGTCTTAGTTTGATGGTATGAAAATAAACAAATGTAATTTTTTTACAGAAGTGAATATTCATACATTATTCGAATACCATTATGCTTGCTTATAGATTGATTGGCTGTCAATTTTGAAGTCAACATTAGACAGATTGTCTAGTTTTATTATATCCCAGATTAAACCCACATCCCATGTAATTGTGAGCTACATACCTTGTACTTTTCTACAACAAGCTCAATTACTCAGTCTCATGGAGAGAGTCACCAGTATGGGTTAGAGGTGAGAACAATAAAAAAAACTTCACATTTCAATGTTTTGTCAGTCTACATACAGACAGAATGACAGCAAGATGGTGATGGACAGACAAGGACAAATATATATCCCCTCAAGTTGGGGGCATTAGAACATATTGTCACCTTAGTGCAATAAAGGGTTAACGCCTATTGAATTATATAAGGATATAACCAGTTACTGCACTAAGGTGATGATACAGACTATAAATATTGGTACCACAGTGTATGTCTTATTCCATTACCTTGCGTCTGGCTCAAGCCCGGCCACATCGTCCATGTTGCTTTTCTTCTCATTGGCCTGTCCTAACATGAAGTATGTGTCCCTGTCAAATATAGCAAAAATCATTAACTCTGATCCTGCTGAATTTGTAAAATGGACTTACCCTCTTTTCATTTAAGAACAGTTCATTATTAATTTGAGGGATATTAGGTCAAAAAAATACTTAATTTCAGTGATGAAAATAAAACGTTTATGATTTTCTTTTAAAATTTTTCTTTTAAAGAAATAAACTGGTTATTGTCAGAAAACCATCATGGACTTGAGAACAGGTAAGATTAAACATTCTTTCAATAGTTTAAGCCACAAGATCACATTTTCATAGTTTTTACTTTAGACCCATTTAAAGTAAGAGTTACCTGACTTGAGGGAATTCATCTAACAAGCCTAGGATACTGTTATAATAGGTCAATAGTTGACCTCTCAGTGAAAACTGGGCCAACCTTCTGTTAAAGTTAGTACAGAACTGGGATATCAATGTCCTGAAAAGCAAAAATAATAGGCATAACTCACAATGAACATAAAACAAAAATTAGATTGAGCGCGTTCAAAAATTGCTATGGAATCATCACAGTTCTCTAAAACTGAAATTGTTATGTGCAACATTTATCATCCAGTGATATAATATATATTGACAAGTATATCATAAGAACATTACTTTATATGTCCTCTTTAATCTTTACCATATTTTACCTAAGTAACATGCTTATTTGGATTTGAATTCAGACTTTTAATTTGTATTATATTGACACTTACACAGTTACAATCATATGACAACTTCCAGCTTTAATGATTCTTTGTTTGTTTTTATGCTTTGTTTTTTACTATGATTTTACCACAATTTCTTGTTTATATCTCAGTGTTTGGTCAACCTAACCAGCTTTCCTGGATAACAAACCGGTAATTATTTATTCATCCACAAGTGACCGACAACTTCTCCCCCACAAATGACCATCAGACTCCATGTTCCAGATCAATTGTCACCGAGAAATTTTGCCTCGCCAGAGGATTGAACAGCAACCCTTGGATTACAGATTTAATGTTCTCCCTATTAAGCCAAGCAGTTTAGCTCTCTCAAGGTACTCCCCTGTGCATAATTTCTGGTATGAAGGGGCACCTGAGAAGAACCACCAACCTTCTGACAGTGGAACAGATATATAAGACAAGATATCAGCAAACCTTTTCATTTTAGACATTTCTTCAGCATTTCTTAAGATAGTCCCCATCTGGTTCTTCTTTGTTACAAAGTCATTTAACATAATGTCTCTGCTGGGGGTCTACAACAATAAAGAAACATCAATGTATTGTAATAATGAGCCGCGCCATGACAAAACCAACATGGTGCGCTTGCAACCAGCATGGATCCAGACCAGCCTGCGCATCTGCGCAGTCTGATCAGGATCCATGCTGTTCGCTTACGAACCCCATTGCAAGCAGAGAAACTGATAACGACCATGATGGATCCTGATCAGACTGCGCGAATGCGCAGGCTGGTCTGGATCCATGCTGGTCACAAACGCACTAAGTTGGTTTTGTCATGACACGGCTCTTATATGATAATGTGTTTAAAATTGCAGGAATGAAATAATGCTATGAAATAATTCATAGAATTAACTTTGAATGATAAAAGTTCATTTAGCTTTTATTACATAAAAGTTTGACATAACTTTTACCTCAACCAATTAAAATGTGATTGTAGAATAATAACATTTTTTTTAAACTTTTTGTTGGGCTTACCTATGCACCAACACAGTGAAGATGACTGATCTTATGGCAACTTCCCAGCTATACTGGTGGAGGAAGACCTTAGGTGCCCCTCTGTGCATAATTTCAGGCACAAATGGGCACCTGAGTAGACCCACCAGTGTTTTGTAAACTAGCTAAATAGCTTCCTCACATATGAAATGATACAAAGTCCCTGTTGGGATTTGAACCTACAACAATGAGGGGCAAGTGTTTTGAAGTCAGTGACCTTAACCACTTGGTCACAGAAGATTTTTATATGTTGTGTATGCTCCTAATATCAAATTCTCCTGTATGTGCACAAAAATAATTCACAAACAATGCAGTAAAACCTTATTTTCTTAAAATTTCATAATTCATCACTAATCTAATAACAAATATTGAAATAACATTTGAATGTACATGTAAAATGTTACTGTATACATGTAGGTTTCAAATTTATAAGAAATTAAAACTATCAAGACAAATAACATCTGACTGTAAAATCTTTCACATAACTTTCAAATTCATAAATGAGTAATAAACAATTTTTTGAACAAATGAATGAAATATATGCATGAATGAAATATATGCATGTACAAATTTGTGGATACCTTTTCAAGTTGAATAGACATGAAGGCTTCAGGTGAACGTCTTTTACCTCCGCCAGACTCGGCCGCAAGTTTTGCCGCCAGTGCTGTGCCGGCTGTGCTACCGGACATGCCGGTTAACTGGGTCAGCGATGACTTCTCTGATTTGGTTTCAGTTGGACTGTTTCTTCCACTGTAGTGATATTGACAATTTTTAACATAAAATCTCTTAACCAAAAGTTAACAATTTGACAACAATACAAACAGCTCTAGATCAAAAAATTATAAAACTTTACTGACAATTTTTGTTTGTTTGCAGAATGACAATTAGATATAACACAGTATCACAATTTACAGAATAAAAGGCTTCAATTGCTAGTTGACAAATGACGTTGTGTATGTCACCTTTTGATTTTGAATTACATTCAGAAAAAGGCAAGCTTTAGGCATTGTGAGACATTAACTTCAATTCACAAATTGATAGAAAGTTTTGTTTAGCATCTGTTCATATGAAAAGGAGCTCCAATGAAATATAAAAGCCAAAAAACATCAAAATTAAAATTTTATTTATAGATCAATTGAGACACTGTACTATGCAAAAGATAATAAAAAAAGTTTACTAAAAATTAAAATATTTTTTTTTGTGCCATTCTTAGGCAAATTTGAGTTAAAGCGTTTGGGTGCTAATAATTTTTCTAGGTCATTTTGCAAAATAAAAATAATTATTCTGGAAAATGAAAATGAGCTTATGATCTTAACTTTGGCACACATTTTATAGGTCCAGACTGGCACTAAATGATATACAAATGTATAGAAAAAAAAATATTTCAAGTCCCATCAAAAAACCTTAGCGGAGTCCCTTTTGCATATATCTATAATTATACAGTTTATAATGTACTTGGTTTTTATTTACCTTTTACTATATTCTTGCTCTTTGACGGGTTGACAGGCATGAGCCTGTTGTACAGCACATGTGAGGGCATTTTTATGAACAACCTGGGTCTTTAATACAACCTGGAGGGACTCTAATCCACCTGCCTTCATTAACTAAAATTATACGAAAAGGAAAATATAGCTCACCAACAAAACTATATGTTGCATAAATGAACAACTCAACAATTTTATTTATGCCACAAGTATAAAGTAAAGCCCCTCTGTACAGTTATACAGTCAGACCAGGCTACATACTGTCGTCTGCTCAATTTTCAATTATTTACATTGAAACCCATTAAAGCATCCTTCAGCTTTTCTAAAGGTTAAATATGTCATTTTTAGATAAATCCTTGAATATAACTGTCAAATCAGAAGAATTATTGTGGACAATAATATTTGCAGACGATAAAATACATAAACAAGAAGAAAACCTCTCAATACCTTTAATCTACCAGTCCACTCCATATATGTAAATTAATAAAGCAGACAATTCGTTTCCCAATCTTCTATTTTTAGAAATGAACGTCTCATTTTAAAAAGCTCTCGGGAACCTGGGTTGAAGCAGGCTTAACAGTGATATGATGCAATTTTCCAAGATAAAATTACTGAAATACTTAGTTTGAAACAACTAAGAATTGTTTTCCCATCAAAAAATAAAAGCTGAAGACCCCCTGAATGACAAAGGGCAATTCCTAATTCAAAGCAGGGAGAGTTGTAATAATATATAAAATCAGGGATTATAAATATCAAGGTTTTTGGAGTTAAATTTAAATTACAACTCTTAACTTATTAATTTAATTATAATGTTTAGGTCAAAATTATCCTTTAACATTATTCAATCTGTAATTTTTTGAGAACATAGCATCACTACATACCTCCAAAATCCCGTCCCTGCTTCTGAAACTGAACCTCCCTACATGAGCCTCGTCTAGCTCGTGTATAGCCAGGTACAAAAATCCTGGTGTATACCTGTAAATTATTGAAATATGCATATATGTATTTCTGATGTGATACTGTATCCAGTTTCCAGAACTGGATATAAAAGTTAGTGAAAAATGGTCAAATATATAGATCGGGGTCAGTATTCTCAGTGCCTGAAAGGGTGGATGGAGCCTAATTAAGCCTAGAATACATACATACATCAAATATATAGATAATTACATTTGCAACTTTATCTTTTTAAACCTGAACTTGCTGAAATTCATTAATTGGCTTATCCAGCGTCTTTTTTGGAAATATTTATTTATTATTTTTGAAATATTAAGATGAAAATTTAAAGTTATTCAGCCAACAGTATAGAGTCTGGTTAAACAAACTGGTCTGGCTCTATACTTGTGGCAAGTACCAGTCACTTCCACCTCTATCCAGTTTAAGAAATATTTTGATCAAGTTAAAGATGCTGTTTATTGAAGTAAGCAGACAGTGTACACTTCATTTTTTAAGTGTTATAACAAAGTCTTGTTTAGAAATCTTTGGAAAATATTGTTTTAAACATGTGTACATGTGTGTATTTACCTATCAACAAGTGACTCATCCTCTAGCACTGAGGTTATAAAAGTGGGCGGAGGTTTCCCAGCGTCCTCCTTGAATCCCGCAAATTCCATCTGTACAAACCTCATGTACATGTGAAACTCATCAAAACCCATATCATGTGCCTGTAGTCTGTATATCTGTACAATAAAATACACAAAATTTGATTGAAATTTTAACAATCTACTGTGAATTCATTTAATTTTGTGGGCATGAAATGTTGTGGTTTTGTCACTAAGAACATTTTTCGTGGGTTTTTTAATTCGTGGACTGTTTATTTTTCAAAAAAGGTAAAATGTAAATAATGTGATGCAAAATAATCTTAAAGCAGACAAAATAAAATTTTATTGGATCATAAATTCATAAATAAGACTTATCCACAAAAATCACGAAAATTAGTTCCCCACAATCAATAATGATTTTGCAGTATAAAGTGTGCATGTACGAGGTATGTTCAAAAAGTTCGTGGATTTTTGCTGTCATTTTTTACTTGGTTAATAAAATCACCCTTAGTGGATATGAATCGAAAGAGTGTCTTTATTTTCAAAAGTAAGATTTACTTTTATTGTTTACTTTTATTTCCTTTACGAGATATGTGCACTTTAATAACCATGGCAACGCAACATCGGCGCACGCCGAAATTTTCATATAATGTTTAAATATAAACAAATGTTGAAACAAACTGAATGATAGTTTTATGAAGTTAAATACAAGTATTCATCTATTAATATTTATGTGACATAAATATGAAATTTGACGTCGTTTGGACGTTGAATAGCTGAACAAACAGGTTTTGAGCAGCAGTAGACAGACGGGTAAGTTGGGAAGTATAAAGCCCGTTTAAAAACTCGAATTTCGCTCTCTCGGAAATATTTACCAACAAATGTGGGATACTTCTTTATATTTTAATGAGGTGATTAAATTAACGAAGAACAATGAGTTGGCGATCAAATCTCTTGGTTTAAGGTCGCGCAAGCGATTCAAATACGGTAAATACATGCTCACAGCCAGAAAGGGCGACGGATAATTTTTAGCGGCAAATTGTTGGGACGTTTGTAACGTCAATTGCAAAAGATCTACAGAAGTTCAGACATTATGAAAGTTTTGCGAGATGTCAGACATGTTTAATAACTGCATCGGGTCTCTGCATTCAATTCTGACAAAACAATTTAATTAAAATAATATTTTATTTCATTCATCAGGATATATGCGTATTTACAATAAATAATTGTAGTTATTATTTGTATTACGTGTATGTACCCTGGTCCGTTTGATAATTGATGCTAGCCGGTGTTCAGTAGATTTACCGCATAGAATAATTGTCAGTTGATAAAATATTTTCTTTATCATTGATAATCATATTGTTTAAAGATCGGACGAGGGCGGTTTTAAATTGATACTATCAATAAACAATTGAATTAACTTAATAGCACTGTCCGTTTAGTGTCTAAATTACTCAAAAATCTCGATAAAGAGCGGAAAGTATGCGGCACTCGGACCTTTATACGGAGAACAGAGCTAAAAAATGACCACTTTATATCTCGGGTCATCATCACAAACAGAAATTTGGTTTTGGTCTATGATCTGCAGATATTGAACACTATAAAGATTACTTCCACAAACAATGAGGCTGGTAAAATGTTTAATTAATATTGCGATGTCACGAACGTCATTTTGTTTCATCATCAGCGTGCGCCGGATTGTGCACCCCTTGTGATTTGTTACTGTCACAGAATTGTTATTTGTAAACATATTGTATTGATTTTTTCACTGTTTATAAAGGACATATTTTCATATATGTCTCTTGTAAAAAAAATTACGCAAATTAAAAGATGTGAACAGTAGAGCCGCAGTCCAAGAACTTTTTGAACAGCCCTCGTATATGTCCTGTAAATCAGAAATTCCATGATTTTACAAATTTAATTTATAATCATAAATTATAGTTGAATTTAAAACTTGAAACAACTGATAATGGCCTGAAGGTAAAATTTTCATTATGCTTAGCCTCTATTAAATGTCTTTGTTTTTTCTTAAAAAAAAGTTTTACGATACTAGACGAAGTGAATTTCATGCATGGAAAAAGGAGCCTTATCATGTGACAATAAAATCCATGACAGTTGTGTACCCATTTCTACAATCTGAAATAATAGTCATATCATAAACACGTCTTTTAAGTATGAAATTAACACCAAGTGAAAAATTTGTTTGTTTGTTTGATTGGGTTTTACGCTCCACCGACACAGTATAGGTCATATGGTGACGTTCCAGCTTTACTGTTGGAGGAAGACCTCGGGTGCCCTCCGGTGTACTTTTCAGGCATGAACGAGCACCTTAGTAGAACCAACAACATTCCGTAAGCAAGCTGAATAGCTTCCTCATATGGTGAAAAAAAAACCTTTATCAAAAGTCCAAAAGAAGTACAATTTGTATAAAATCCAAGACAGAGTTACAAACTCCTGCCAGCGTGTTTTATGTGTGAAAATTGTCAATTTTATACAGAAAATCTAACAGAATTTCTACCTTGGCTAATATTTCTGTTTCCCAGGCAACATCAATTAATCTGTGTCTAACATGTACTGCCTGTAAAAAAAAGGTTTAAGTATGTTAATAAAAATGTACATATACATTTGTTATTAAAACTAGCATGGTAACCTATTTTTTTGTATATTTTAAAGCAGCATGCCTCCAGATTCATTCTAATTTTCATGAAAATTTTGAAAATGTATTTAAAAGTAAAATATTGTGAAAAGAACAAAGAAAGTAGTTTACACATTACAAACGGCACTTACAATCCACGTAAATTACCAAAAAGAGACAAAAAATACATAAATACCTCTTACTGCGTTAGTTACGCAGTAAAATTATAGTGATTGATACTGCAAAATCAGTCATTAATTGCACAAAACATGTTAATGATTAATTAAATATTGAATCTTTTTACTTTTCTTAAAATCTTAATACATTTTTCTAAAGATTGAATTATTTGAAATATTTTGGCTCATCTGGAGGCGTGCAGCTTTAAAATCATGGAATATTTAAAACCATGTATCACTTTCACAAATCTAATCTATAAGCAGTCACCTGAGGAAAAAAAACTTTTAAGTAAGATAAGTAAAATAACTAGCTTTATGACCTCAAAAATGATGTCATTCTGATCAAAAGAATAACTAGAATAACATTTTAAATTTTAATTACAGTGAAACTTCTGCTGCGTGACTCTCTGTAGAAAAATAACCTCTTTACAAAATCAGTATCTATTCTTCAAAAATAAGACCTCAACAATAAATTCAACCTCTCTACAGCAACACCTCTTGGCAACAACCAAAATCTTTGTCTCCCAAAAGGCAGTTGCTCTGCAGGGGTTATACTGTATACGTATTTACTAAGTGTACCTATATGGACTAGGGGTGAAATGCTAACAGTTTACATGGCGACATAAAAACGGTGTTAAACGTTTAACCGACCGTTACCATTAAAATCCCTACTTGTGACTGTTTTAATTTTTACCTCCATAACTCTTCCCACTTTATTCATCATAAGTTTATTCTTCTGTTTCTTCTGCCCCCTAGCTTGCTGGTCCCCGTCTTCCTCCATGGCAAACCTCTCTGCTATCTCACATATAAACAATGGGTCCTCCGCAAACACGCCAGAAAACAGCTAGTTAAATACAGTAAGATAAAAATATGAATCCTTCAAAAAATATGGGTCATCCCAAAACACAGCACATAACAGCTAGTAATATTCAACAAGATTCAATCACAATTTACAGATGAACTAATGTTTTGATTGGTAAAATTGATTATGTTCAATTTTGAAGAAAGTTTGTACCTATTTTGAGCCCACTCTCGAGTTCTGGAATAAACCAGAACTGATGACTTTATTGATAACATGGTAATGACCCCAGTTGGGCTTGAACTCATAAAGTCTAAATTGATAGGCAGACACCTTGAATACTAGGCTACCATTTCACTTCAAGTGGGAATATACATTGTTTTGTTTGTTTTTTGGGGTTTTACGTCACATCCACACAGTATACATAATATCGTCATAATATTATTAGTGCAGTAACTGGGTAACTCCTGTCTAATCTTACCCTATTACTGAAGTAAGATGATGATTTATAAATAACACTGATGCTACTCACATCTTTCTGCATTTGTGGAGAAAATGAGGTGCCAATTGGCTCCATACTCTGCCACTCCCTGAGAGCCACTTCGTACAACTTCTTCTCCATGATCAAAGAGTCAAGTATACACTCTGGCTTGTGTATATGTACCAATTCCTGACAAAAAACACAAATAAGTTTTATAAAGGCATCAAAGCAAAGAATACATCATTTTGATATGTTGTTTTGTTTTTACAGAAAATGATTTTTTGAGTTTTTAAAATAATATACATACAAGTAAGATAGCTAGAGAAGATTAAGAAAAAATATATATATATATATATATTGTTGTCAGAGGGGCTTTGAATAAAAAAAATTAAACCTGAATAATTCATCAAATAGATCGTACAGACTATATTGTCACATTAGTGCAGTAATGGGTTAACTCCTATTCAATTATATATGAGTTAACATGTTACTGCACTAAGTAAAAATACACACGTTTTTATTTTATACCTGTATATACTTTGTTTATACTTCTAATGAATAACATGTGCAAATAACACCCGACAGAAAAAAAAATCTTTATCACACTCAAGTATGATTTAAAATGTCTTATATGTAGTTTAAATTCAACAATATATCCAACAATGTGTATAATAAAACAATTATTACTGGAGTATCTTGATCTATTACTTGTGTTTGGATCTCTTTGACGTGACAAGAATGGATCACACTCGGTCTCGCCTTGTGAGACACTATCCTCAAAAAACTCCTTATGTTAAGTTCAAGTTCCAGATCAAGACACTCATATAATAACCCTGTTATATTACTTACTCATGTTGCCATGTTTTTATGATTGTCTTTTTATTTCTAAATCTAAATCTCAACAACACAACATTGTCAACTAGAAAAAGATTTCTTGCCAATAAAAACATAAAATTTTAGAAAAAATTATACCTGAAGAGCAAATTTGACAGCTTGGGGAACTTTGCTGGCAATGGCTAGTGTAGGATGAAACTCTAGAATGAACACATTACGTAATGCTGATCTGAAAATAAAAATATACTTTCTATGATTGACAGATGACCTATAATGGCACACACTTTCTATGATTGACAGATGACCTATAATGGCACACACTTTCTATGATTGACAGATGACCTATAATGGCACACATTCTATGATTGACAATTTGACAGAAGACCTATAAATTTACATACTTGCTGTGATTGATAGAAGAGATATAATGGTACATACTAGCTATGATTGACAGAAGACCTATTTTGGTACATACTAGCTATGATTGACAGAAGACCTATTTTGGTACATACTTGCTGTGATTGACAAAAGAGATATAATGGTACATACTAGCTATGATTGACATTTCAGCCTATTACGGTACACACTTGTACTTGCTATGATTGACAGAAGAGTTATAATGGTACATACTTGCTATGATTGACAGAAGACCTATTATGGTGCATACTTTCTATGATTGACAGAAGACCTATAATGACACACACTTCCTATGATTGACAGAAGAACTATAAAGGTACATACTTGCTATGATTGACAAACAAGCCTATTATGGCAAACACATATACTTGCTATGATTGACAGAAGAGCTATAATTGTACATACTTGCTATGATTGACAGCTATAGGTTGTTTTGGTATAATACGGTATGGCAGTCCATGTTTGTCACCATCTCTACAAACTTTCTGGTTATATTCCCTCTCATCTTCTATCTACAAATATCCAAATAATAGACCTTTGTAAATGCTTCAAATGTACTTAAAATAAATGATAATGCAACACTATTTTAGTTTTTTCCCCAATAAACAAAGAAGTTTCCCCAATTTCTTTATAGTTTTTCACAATTCCTACCTATTCCTAAACTACATGGTAGATTTTCAAATTTGGGCACCTGAGTAGAACCACCAACAGACTGTAAACTAGCTGGACGGCTTCTTCAAATGAATAAACCAAATGATCAAAGTCACAAGCAGGATTTAAACCCACAGCTGTAAGGTGCAAGTGGTTTGAAGTCAACGTTCGTTACCTGGACAAGGCAATGTACGTCCCAAAAATAAAACATACATCAACTTTTTAAGACATCACTGGATTGATGTGTTTAAATTCAATACATATAGTTGTCCCGTACCTTAAAATAGACATGTCCTTTGAATTTGGAAAAGTCTGTTTTTGAATAGGGAATACTTTCAGATCAACTACAGAAATTTAGATAGCAAACATCATAGTCAGCCTAGATTGTTTACACCATATGTTATTATATACTTATATCATAAAACATTGTTTTGTTTGTTTGATTGGGTTGAATGACACACCAGCACAGTACAGGTCACATGGCGACATTCCAGCTTTACTGGTTGAGGTGTCCTTTCGTGCATTATTTCAGGCATGAAAGGGCACCTGAGTAGAACCACCGATGTTCCGTAAGCTAGCTGGATAGCTTCCTCACATGAAAGAATCCAAAGTCCCTGTCGGTATTCAAACCCACAGCGATGAGAGGAAAGAGATCACAAAACATACATTGCAACTATAATTACCTGTTTATCAAGAATAGACTTGATAAGGTTGATATGTTGTCTCATAATAACACTCTCTGCACGATAAATCTTGATAAAATATTCGGCAGACAGGTCATATCTCGGTCTCTGATACATTAAGTTCATTATCACCTGAAATAGCAAGTCAATACTATTGTAAATACACCTCAATAAAAACAGTATATAATTAAAACAATTCATTATCTCTAACCATTACCTAAATGACTTTGTACATTGAAATTGCCCTTCTTTGAATTTGGAAATGTCAATTGCGAGTTTGACAGATTTCAATATTATAATACTTAAACTGTGCAGCTAACAGTAATCATAGATTATACAGGTGATCTGTTTGCTTCTGAGACATTATTAATGTGGCTTTAAAGCTAGCACTATAGGGGCTACATATCCAGAATATTTTATTATAAGTTGAGGAGTATGAATGTTGTAAATGAAATTTTAATATAAGTAAATACATTTTATTGCTTCATAAAAGATTTTAATAAAGGTCTTGCGTTGCTGGGTATTGTGGGGGTTTGTTCATTGAACGCCGCCCTTCCTTGTTGATCTTGTTTTTCATATTTCAACAAAATACAGAAATTTTTACCTGGGCCAAGGCTCTCTTCTCATCTCTATCAAACACATTGTGGTATGCTTCCATATAACAGTCAATCAACTTAAAAAAATAAAAATGCAAAATTCAGATGATTATCCTTAAAATCTTGTTCAATGCCTCAATAAGTGGTGGCGTGGTCAAGTGGTATACGTGCCAGATTAGTAATCAAGGATTGCTGACGACGTGGGTTCAAACCCTGTTAGGGGCAAGCCGTTATTTCCTTGAACAAGAAACTTTACAATCATTGCTTAGTACTGGTTGGTTCCAGGAACAGATTCGGGAGTGTTCAATAAGCTTATTATTACTAAGCTTCCAACACAATCAAACTAAAATAAATTTGTATAAACTAATACAAATGTACCTTGATACTCATCTCGATTACAGAAATAAATTGTTAATCTTAAATAACCAATAACATTCTAAATTTCAAAACATCTATTGATTTACAAATTCAAATGCAGGTAAATTTGTAAATGAAAAAAAACAAACAATGACTATCTCGATGAAAACTGCTCAGCAGCTATAAAAAATATTAATTACTATAATGAAAATATTTTGGGACATAAGCTTCTAATATTTTAAGTAATTTTCCACTTATATTTATTAAAAATTACATGATTCCTACCTCCCTTTTACATTCCATAAATGCTGTTTCATTAGTCCATAAGTCCATCATCACACCGAACCTGTCAATTTCCATATGAGCATAGGTAGGCATATCAAAATCTCCTGGACCTGCTGTAGATTGCTGAAAATATGCTACAGATTATGACAGATATTCCTCAAAATTCATTCAGAATAAGGCCTTTTAACTTAGGTGACAGCCTTATGGCAGAGCTTAACTAGAAATGTGTCATCATGCCACGGATGCCCCCGCATGCAGCCAAAATTTCAAATGTTATAATATTTAGTTCCAAATTTGTTTGCACAAATTATTTTTTTCATTCTAAGTTCAAAGCCCTTAAAACTTTTCAATGTTAACACAAACCATTTTTATACAATGTTCAAGGCACTGAAATTATTCAGTCTTAACCATTTTTATACAATGTTCAAGGCACTGAAATTATTCAGTCTTAACCTTTTAAAAATAGCATATTGCATATTTGTAGCCAACATAATGGCTATATACATTTCCACAAAAGTATGAGTGCTGAAACTGAAAGTTCAAAATTTTTCCAACATTCAGGAAAGATAAGTTTGTCTAAAATCATTGAACCACGACCAAATTCAAACTTAAACTGCTTATTCCTCAGATGTATCTATATTATTTTCAAAGTGAAAGGGACATAACTCTGCCAAAAAATCATCAAACCATGACCAAATTCCAACTTGACCTGCGCATTCCTTTGACATATCCATATGTCAATTTTGAGTTGAATATGTAACACTGTTGGGTTGATAATGAACAGAAACTGTAAATTTCATATCATTTTCAAAGTGAAAGGGGCATTACTCTGCCAAAAATCATTGAACCATGACCAGATTCGAACTTGGTCTGCGCATTCCAAAAACATATCCATATGTCAAATTTGAGTTGAATGTGTAATATTGTTGGGGAGATAATAAACAGAAACTGAAAATTTCATATTATTTTTAAAGTGAAAGGGGCATAACTCTGCCAAAAATCATCGAACCATGACCAAATTTGAAATTCACCTGCGCATTCCTTTGACGTATCAATATGTCAAATTTGAGTTGAATGTTTAATACTGTTGGGGAGATAATAAACAGAAACTGAAAATTTCATATTATTTTCAAAGTAAAAGGGGCATAACTCTGCCAAAAATCATCGAACCATGACCAAATTTGAACTTGGCCTGCGCATTCCTTTGACGTATCGATATGTCAAGTTTGAGCTAAATGTGTTGTACGATTGGGGAGATAATGAACGGAAACTGAAAATTTCATATCATTTTCAAAGTGAAAGGGGCATAACTCTGCCAAAAATCATTGAACCATGACCAAATTTGAACTTGACCTGCGCATTCCTTTGACGTATCCATATGTCAAGTTTGAGTTGAATGTGTTGTACATTAGGGAGTTAATGAATGGAAACTGAAAATTTCATATTATTTTCAAAGTAAAAGGGGCATAACTCTGCCAAAAATCATCGAACCATGACCAAATTTGAACTTGACCTATATTTTCTCATGACATATCAATATGTCAAGTTTGAGTTGGATGTGTTGTACCGTTGGGGAGATAATGAACGGAAACTGAAAATTTCATATTATTTTCAAAGTAAAAGGGGCATAACTCTGCCAAAAATCATCGAACCATGACCAATTTCCAACTTGACCTGTATTTTCTCATGACATATCCATATGTCAATTTTGAATTGAACGTTTTGAACCGTTTGGGAGATAATGAACGGAAACTGAAAATTTCATATTATTTTCAATGTAAAAGGGGCATAACTCTGCCAAAAATCATCGAACCATGACCAATTTCGAACTTGACCTGTATTTTCTCATGACATATCCATATGTCAAATTTGAGTTCAATATGTGCAAGGGTTATTAAGATAATGAACGGAAACTGATGATGACGGAAGGACGGAATGACGGAACAGGGTAACACTATATGCCCCTGCCATTATATGGCGGGGACATAAAAATACTGGAATATTTAGCTAGTTTACCATTAACATGCTTTACATCTTACATACTTCTAATAATGGACCACACCATTGGTCGTTTTGTGGATCATTTCAAGGTAAGTACTGACTGAATTGCCAATAGTACCGACCACCAGCAGGAGGACTTGAACCGACATTGACTGAATTGATAGATGAATATCATAAATCACTAAGCCACCTTTCTGTTCTACAATTCAAAGTTATCGGTAAAATTTAATATGCTCATAAATCCCCATGATATGTGACAACACTCGTAAAACTTTACCTGTCTACGTCTAGCGGACTCTGTCTTCTTGTTTACACGAGATATTCCACGAAGGTTACGATCTTTCTCTATATAGTGAGTGGCAAGTAACATGAGACCTTTCTCTAGTTCCCTGAAATAACATACCATATGTTGTCATGTTTTTATATCCAATTTTAATCTGGTAAAAAAAAAATTTAATGTATGCTACAAAACTAGGCAATTCAACAAATCATTAATGGTATTATGGCTAAACTATAAATATTTACATCATAAACCTTCACTGATATATCGATAGATTTCTGGTTTGTCATCAGTTCCTGCTTGCAATTATAACCAAGCCTAAATGAACACTAAAAATATACCCAGGATCTCCTTTCAACATTGGAAAACACTAGTAAAACAGTTAGAAAGTGGATAGAATGGTCTGAACAGTGTTAAAAGAGCTTTAAGTCTAACAAAATATACATATTCCTGTATAAAATATTACTGCCTGAATAGCGAACAGTACAGACGATGATCAGCTGGCATAGACATTCCAATTGACCTCATTCTGCACTGGTCACATGGGTAGGATAAGTTTCCCCCAACAGGCTTAAGGCTTATTAACATTATCAATAGGGACATATTATGTTACAGGACAAAAAGAGCAAAGACTTACTCTAGATCTTTGACAGCAGTATCATACATGATGTAGTATCCCCTCTGATCTTGCACGTGGATTCTACCATCGTCAATCGTGAAGAAATCATCGTGATTATCTATGTCAGCAAACTCTACAAATTCTGACTCATTCAACCTGGATAAAACAATCCAAATGTATCAAATACTGAACATGTTGTTAACATTATTACTATCCCTGGTCAATACCTTTTCTCTCACTTCAAAATTTTAATTATTTTTATGTGTATTACATAAACTTAAGTTTATATAGAATTTGTTTTAAGTTTGATTGTATAAGAAGTTATAAGCTTATAGACACACTGTCAAATCCATTTTCTGGAACATATAAATATTAAGCAATGAGTGTAAAGTTTCTTGCCCAGAGAAAGAATGGCTTGCCCATGATAGGATTTGAACCCACACAGCTAGCAATCCTTAGATTACTAGTCCAAAGCTTAAACCACTTAGCCAGGCCGCCACAACACTCAAACTTTCAACAAACAGCAAAAATTGTAACCATACTTACCATTTCTAAAGCTTTATGTTTAAAAGATAATTTATCAATTTAAAAGCCAGTTCAAATCTCTATAATGGTTTCATTGCATTTATTGAATTTAAACCATTCAATATCCAAGTTTTTTTCTGGTCAAGAAAGACTTTCTCCATGTTTTATTTCAGGCACAACTGATTGCCTGAAACAAAGATCTTCTGTAGGCTCCCTTGATACTTATTTAGTCCTGTGCACAATTTGATTTTCCCAAAGATGAGGCCAAAATGATTTGGAATCAAAACCTAAACTCTTGGCCAAAGATGTGATACCACATTCACTCAATAATCTTTTTATTTGTGTATGGACAGATATATTTTGGAAATATTGAACAATACTAGTAAATGATATCATGAATACATACTTGAAATCTAGTGGGGTGTTATGAAGATAGGAATGGGATGCGAGACCCCCACCACCTCCAACTGTACCATCGGTCTCTGTTGCTGTCCTGTGGTTCTGTGGACTGTAAAATAATATACTCAAATGTTATTCATGTCTAAACTTTACCAAAATACAAACAATATAATCAAAAATTTTAAATTATAACTAAGTTTCTGTGAACAAACATTAAAGCATTTGCATGTGTATAACTGTTGTTTGGGGGACCAGGAGATGGCTTTGTGAGGTATTAAACATCAAAATGTTGAATGTCTTTTAAATTATTTTTCTAAAAATAAAGCCTAAAATAGAGTATTGTTGTATTTAGTGATGAACTGATCATCCACATGCAATATCCAACTTCTCCACTAAACTGTTAAAATGGAGAACAATAGACTTTTAGAAACAAGTTTTCAAAATAGTGTTAAGGTCACCAAAAACCTTAACAAAACTTAACATAAGATGAGGTGACATGTGGACCAATGGTCTTACAAAGGTACTTAAAAAGTGTGTTCATAGAAAAAGAAATGATATGTATACCAAGCTTGTTTGAACTCTGCTTCATCTTGTGTTAAACCAGCATCATTAATAGTGAGTGTTCTTTCCAGGGACCGAAAGTAGTTAAACATACTCAGACACTGAAAATAGAAAACAATACAGATTTATAAAAAAAAACACCCTAGGCTTACTGTCATCATGTGAACACTTAGGATAAACGGTTTAAACAAAAACATACCTGTAACAAGAAATGGCGAAACAACAAAGATATAAAAGGTTTAAATACTGAAATAAGAATAAAATATAAGATTATATAACTAATTTTGAATTATTTGGTGGTATTTGTTAAATTATATATATACTTTTCTACGTCTCATACAAATGAACTTTGAATCACATTGGTTTCCCACCACTATATTTTGTTGATTATTCATTAATTTAGTATCATTTAACCTGAAGTGAGATACTGTGACTAGTTGCTGTATATTTTTGTTGAGAAATACAGTTGATGCATGTAATCTGATTTGTCAAAATATTTTTAATAAGAGAACACTTCAGCTGTTCTTTATTCAGTCAGTGTTTTCCAAGTGTTTTACTTTATTCATGTACATGTATATCAAAATAATGTAAAATGCTCTAAGTTCACATTAACAAAATTACACACTTTTTTCCATGAAGTCACTTAATCATCATAATCAAAATTGACATTGTTGATGAACAAAATAAGATATTTGCAATTTTGGGCTAACATATTTATTCATGATAACTTAGAACTTTGCAAAGAAATTGATTCAAAAATATTCATAACCAGTTTTACAGTATCCATATAATATAAATGAATGAATAAATAGTTTTGTTTACTTTTTTATTTATGACCCTGATGAAGACTGGTGAGAGCCGAAACGTCTGTTATCATCATTAAATAAACCTTAAAACTTATCCTGTGTTGATTGTTTTTTCCACTTGTATCATTTTTCTCAAGACAAAATGTACTTTTTTATCAATACGGGTGTCCTGTACAGGTAAATAAAATGTAAATATAATGAAAATCGGTCGATAACTTAAACTTACAGATCTCTGTAGATCACGGAGTCGAAGGTGACGGAGATGTAGAAACGACAGATATGCTCCCTGTACGGTGGCTGCATCATTATGATTCTGTTCTCCTTCATCTAAACCTAAAAATAGCATTAAATGATGTTAGAGTTACCTCCCCTAAATAATTAAAACAGTCAAGAGTAACCTACACTTGGCAAGAAATATGTTTCAAACTGGCCATAGATTCCAGAAAACACTTGTCCTTTTCAAAGCCTAAACAATTTAGCTTCACTATATTTATTTTATGGCAATAAATTGTTCATTCTTGTTTTCAATCTATTGTTTTCAAATATTTAAAATTACATAATTTATTTTTTATGATCTATTTATAACCTCTGCTTTTAAAATATATAGTGAACGACCCTTTTTTCAGATATTTCTCACTTGTGATTCATTAATAATACTTGCCCATTATTTTTATCATAACCCAGCTAAAGTAAACTTATTTTCAATAATTTTATATTTACCAAGCATTTGCACAGTGTTTATATAGTCGTAACTGTCCCGTCTTTTCCGTGCACTCCCTGACCTCTTGTTGTTCAGGTTTACATTTTCTATATCTCTCTCATCAAAATCTACCACCTTAACAGAATCATCATCATCACCACTGGAATCATACCACACACAAAATATATGAAATACTTTGTAATAAATCATTTGCCAGATAATTTGGAATCCAAAGGGTGGGGAGAAGGTGGGTGGTCATTACCGTCCCGCCCCCCACTGCCCCTCCCTGAATTGGACTGGTAAAATGCTTTAAACTATGTAGCCAACAGTCTTGCCAGATGACCTGGATGTGCAAGCTGGCCTGGCTCTACACTGATAGCATACTATTAGGCAAGTTATTAAGGGTTTAACAAAAAAAAAACTAACCTATAAATTGAAAAATCATAAACTTTTTTTGTATAAAACTGAAAGAAGTGCCCATACACTGCACTACATAAAAAGTTAGAATAACCACTTAAACTTACTCATTATAAAGATCGGTGTTACAGTAAATCTTCCTCCAGACTTGAAGAGTATTCATGTTGTTAGCGTCGTGATTGGTTGTCACACGTGCAGCAGAACCGCTCACAGGATTCCGTACAGCACCAGCGTGCTCCTGCAAAATCTCTTGTACATGCTGGAAAAATAAAATCACAAGTTAAATAAATCAATGGTTCAACAATAAAAATCTAGAAAAAGGGGTGATCCCTAAAAGCAATGAAAGCAACAGTATGTAATGAAAATTGCAGACTCAGTTTGTGTTCATAACAAATAATGTAAACAACAAATCTTACACCCCCTAGCACCAGTATAAGCAGTATACATTCTTCAACACAAAAGTGTTAGAATCAACGGTTCTTAAGGTCATTGTATGAATATATTAGTATATCAATTCCATCATTTCAATATATATTGCCTCAGCACATGTATAAAATGTGACGGCATACATTTCTATAATGTCTAAACTCAGCATCCATAAAAATGATGAAAATACCTGAAAATGACTGAATACCTTTCTCTAAAATATTTCACCTCCGCACAGAGAGATATAAAATGTTCCTGTATACATAACTAAAATATTTCTTGCATATCAGACAGTACTATCTACCATTGACAAGACGCATGCTTTAAATGACGTCATTGTTGAGCCCCTTTTATGAATGAATTGGGTTCTTAGGATGACGTCATTTTACCGTTGTGAATGAAGTTGTAAGTTTAAATGACGTTATTGCCACGCGCCTTTTATGACTGAATTGCATTCTTGGGATGATGTCATTTTACTGTTATGAATGAAGTTCTAAGTTCATACGATACTATACGAAAAAAAGTGCGTAATGAGAATATCAGTTTTTGTAATTTCTCATCTGAAAATAATTGATATGTAATATGCAAGAAAAGGAATCAAACAGTGACTGTCGGTACAGACAGGAATATCTAGCTCTCGGTTAACTTTTTAGCGGAAACTCGGCAAAGTATTGTTTCCGCCTTAAACATTTACCCTTGAGCTAGATATTCCGATCTGTATTGGCAGCCAGTGTAAGATTCTTATTGTCTTCCCTCAGTAAAGATATCTTCATAAAATGTTCCTGCATACTTAAGAAAAATATGCCTCACTTTGCATACAGAAGTAAAATATATCTCACCTCAGCATCAGACACATGTATAAAATGTGCCTGCATACGTAAGATCTCATCCGTATTGTTAACTTGTCTCAACTGAGTCCAAACCTTCTCTTGGGTAGCATTGTGTTCTGGTTTAAGTTTGATATACGGAAGCCAGTTTGACTCTTGTTTCAACGCATGGGTGGGAGAGTCTATACCCCAATTCTCTTGACCAAGCTATTTGAAATAATGAGAAAAATTCAGATATCAAATTTGTGACAAATAATGGATAGAAATTCTTTTTTTTTTAAAGCAAATCTGTACTTAACCCATAATACGCTTGAACCTAAAGTGATTAGCCTTTGCCACCAGTATAGAGCCTGGCTTGCCTTCACATCTATGCTGTCTGACCAGGCTCTATACTGTTGGCTGTCTAACTTTTAATTTTTCATTTTATTATCCCCGAAATTTATAATGGACAGTTCCAAAAATGGGAGCTGGACAAGTACATTATACAAATTCAGCAGGTGAAGGGTTATTTTAATTGTTATACTAATAGTTGAAAAGCTGACAAAAAAATCTACACTAACATTTTGTGAGTAGAATTGTCAAAGACAAAAGCATCTATTCTCAATTTGCTAAAATTCATCTAAAAAATAAATGCTGACTTTTATCGTTATTTGCTTTTGTACTTGCATGATTTTTATGACTGAAAATTCATTCATAAATATATTCTAATACAAACTTTCCTAAAAAAAAAGTTACAACCACTGTATCACTGTATCATGGACAATACAATACAAAACTGTCAAACAAGAAATTATTACATAAAAGCATTTAATGACAGGTTTTAATCATAGCTTCAATTCAAGAAACGGTTCCCATCATAGCACCAAAAGCCGAAAACTTGTTAAACAATAGCTGGTACCCCGACAGGCTTGATAACTAAATCAGAAATTCTATATTCTTCTACCAATACTTATCAGTCCTATGCTACTACCAATTTATTTTTTAATCAGTTGATTGCCAGAGTTAGATTGTAACAGAACAGAACAGCTTTATTAACCAATATCGGACAAGGACAAATGCTGTGTCGGCAAAATTATAATTACATGCACAGAACCTAAAGCTTGATTGGCTACGACTGAAAGTCACTGGCCTTTTATATAATATTACCAGTATATACAGGCTTGTGCAGTCTGACCAGGCTCTATTACACTGGTAGCACCATCTTTTAATATTTTTTTTTAAATTTTCTATTTCATTTTATTTTTTATCCTGAAATCCCTTAAATTTTGAATGAACTGTTCCTAATTCAAAGCAGGGCAAACTCATTACAAAAATTCAGTGGGTTACGGGGCTAAAGCTTATCCTCAGTAACATAATCAAGCAGATTTGCATGCAATTTCTTTACCTGATTTTCACTTACTTCAATACATACAATAACAAGCTACCGGTCAATATTAACAGGTTTAAAATACCAAAACATCAATTGTGTTAAATTCACCTCAATATCAAAAATCCCATCTTCAGCATTCAAAACAGAAATTCAGAAGCAAAATGTTAATAAAATTTCACTTATTCACAAATGTCTTGACAATACTTTGTGTGCAGGCATGCATACAAATATTTTATTATAAATAAGTTTTTAAACTTAAAATATCTCTGTTACATTCAGAACATAAAATTCTATTCCAAATCTACTTAACTAAATCAGTATCTTTTTGTGACTATAATCCTGTGTTTAAAAAGCAAAAAAAAACCAAAAAACAATCAGCATGCTTAATGACTTTTCATGTTAATCAAAATGACATATAAAAAAATCAATCAATCAATCAATCTACAATAAAATTACACCATAAGCTTACATCTCGCACATGTGATTTCTTCTCTGACTGTAAAGTAATTGGTGATAAACAACAACAACAACATTATTATAATATGTTACCTTCTATAACCCTTATCTTGATTAAGCGGACCTTCATAAAAAGATTTAAAAAGTAAAATTGTTAAAAACACTCCTTATAATACATGACTTATGCTATGAGGTTTTCAATGTATTTGTATAATATATTCCCACAAAAAATGTATTCAAAACTCACTGTTTTCAAATTTAATTAGGAAGAAGAAATATATAAGATCAAAATATAAAAAACAACAAATTATCCACTATCCTCTTCAAAAGGCAAAATTTACTGTGGGTCTAAAATAAATGAATTTTTAAAACTTCAAAGATAAAAAAAAGTAAACTTCGAAAAAGAAGCAAATGAGCATTTCAGAAATATGCCAAGAACTCCTTTACTCAGTTGATACGTAAAAAATCTTGTTTATAACTTTATAGACTAATAGAAAAAGAAATTTGCTTATTTCACTTGAAAGAATGAACTTATATTAAAGGAACTCCACTGAGGTCAAAAACCTAAAAAATTATTCAATTTGATCTTTTTTCAAAAGTTCAACTGGGACACTCAAAAAAAAAGATATCTAAAGACATACCCTTATATTCAAATTAAAATTTGTTTTTTTTTTGTGCTCTTAGCGTTATTATTTTTGGCTCATTTTTCACAATGAAAATATTATTCTAGATAAACAGATTATGTGAATGATATAAAATATTGCATACAAATTATTGGTTCAAATCCAGATTAAATGGTTTATTATATACATTTAAATTTTCTCCCTAAAATACACGCATATCTTGAAGCGCATAGAAATTCCGTATTATGTTAGTGACAAATACATTACCCTGTTATGGTAGTGCCGTATAATTTTTGACGTTGGTTCCGATCTTAGCTTTGTATAACGTTGCATTTGGAAACGGGAAGCAAAATAATTAAAGGCGTGGCCGGTTTTGCAAGAATTACGTATTCATCCGCCAGTCATGAATTTATTTCTTGACAACTACATTTCATTTTCAGAATAAAGCGAACAGGTATATAATAAAAGGAAAATTATGCTGTATTAGCTTTCTGAGGCTATGTATTTTTCTACTCGCAACGTTGAAAATTGATATCTCGCTCAACCTTCGGTCTTGCGAGATATCAATTTTCCACCGCTGCTCGTAGCAAAATACAAAGCCTCAGAAAGCTACTACAACATAATATTCCATATATATCAATCCAGAAAAAAAAAAATTCCGGTCCAGTCATTTTAAAAACCTTCTGTATAAGTGAAGTCCCCTTAATTGACCATATCTTTAAATCAACAATTGCATTATGTAAAAGCAAAATCAACCAATCAAAAAAGAATCGCCTTACCTCAATCCTGTCATAGGTTTTAAATGTTTTCATATTCTCCTGTCTCTGGAAGATTTGTTTAAACTTTCTGTTAATGGCAGCGAACATTTCCATCTCATCTGCACTGTTCTTTATACCCTCCAAGTTCTGCAATAAACATTTTATACATGCATGTCAAAGTTGGAACAAAAATATTTCCAACTTTTCTTGTCCTAAGTGGTTTTGCTCAATCAGACTCACGCTCAGAATTTCAAAGTACATGTATAGCATTATATAGGAGCTGATTTTAATCAGATTGACGTCCTGCTTTTCTCAGTAGTAGTCAGATTTTTATTTTGTTTTTTTTTTGGTCAGGTTTTATGCCGCACCAACACTGTAATGGTCTTATGGTGACTTTCCAGCTTTTACTGGAGGAAGAAATCCTCAGCTATCCCTGTGTGTATTATTTCAGGCTTGAATTGGCAACTGATTAAAACCATGTCCTGTGTGCATAATTTCAGACACAAATAGGCACCCAAGTAGATAATGCATAATTTCAGGCACAAATGGGCACCTTAGTAGAAAGTTCATAATTTCAGACACAAATGGGCGGGCACCTGAGTAGAAAGTGCATAATTTCAGGCACAAACAAGCACCTGAGTAGAACCACCTTTGTTCTGTAGGCTAGCTGGATAGCCCATGGTTTAACTCAAGTGCCCATTAAGTTAGAAAATTGACTATTGATTATAATGATATATAAAGTCATTTTTTAACTTTCTCGGATTTCCAGAATAATTTGATTACTGAAATACTTAGTTTGAAACAACACATAATTGTTTTTCCAACAGAAAATAAAAGCTGAAGGCTGATTTAACGAGAAGAATTATAAAAAAAAAATTATAAACAAATAAATATCATAAATATCTGACAGGACAATCAAAACAAGGTAGTTTTTTTTCAAACTCATTGATAAACAATGACAAAAATTGTCTTTCTTTTTTTAAAAAAAATTAAAAACAAAAACAAAAACATTGTAACTTACAAACTGTACTCCGTATATATTAAGGAGGAAAGCAAGGTGTGGTTTTAGAGATTGAAAGTCTACAACATTCAGTGGCAGACCAAGACTTTCCTCATCTGTGGCAATACCTCCTCCTGTAATACATAATTATAAAATGTTATGCTCCACATGTAATGTAATCCACTTTTTAACTTGTTTTTGATTGGTTTTTCTTGGGTTTCTTTGCTCAGTTTTTGTTTATTTATCTTTTTTTGTTTGGTTTGGTTTTAAAGTCACACCAACACTAGAGATCTGTGTGACTCTAGCTTTACTTGTGAAGGAAGCTTCTGGGTGCATTATTTCAGACATGATTTGGCACCTAAGTAGAACCACTAATCTTCAATAACCCTTAGACTGTGGACGATAACTGATTCTTCCAATGCTACCTGTACAAGATGGACCAGCCCATCCATGATGACTATGATCATGGTCTACACTGTTCAGTCATTAAACATTTTAAAATTTTCCCTTAAACTGATGAATGGTTTTGTCCACATTGGAAAATGGGCAAGTCCATTTAAGATATTAAGTGTGGTAAGGGTTAAGCTAGTTGGATTGTTTTCTCTTATGTAATAATTCAAAGTACCTGGCAGGATTCGTACCCATAGCAATAAAAGGCAAGTGATTAATTTTATGTTAAAACCTGCATGTCCAACAACAGTACAACATACATAGTCACTTAAGAAATCTTAAAAATCTGAATTTTGTAATGCTATATATTTTTTTAGCAATTTTGTACTTTGTTAAAGATATCATATAAAGGCAATGTGATAAGAAAATAAAAATTTCTCAGGAAATAACTAAATATAACAAAGACATACCAGCAGCAGCTGCAGCATAAGCTAGGGAAGTTGATGGCAGTGGTGTTGTTGACAGGAGGGAGGGGTTGATAGCTGGAGGCTGGGGGAGCGGTGTCTGTGACCGCGGAGACACAGCAGAACTAGGTCTAGATGCTCCAGATTTAGGGCGCTGAAAACTGCTAGAAACATCATCCTGGTACCTGGAGGCCATCTTAGCAACACTAGTGTTTTCCTCCTACAAGAAAAATAAAAGAATAAGTGAAAATTTGCGCACAAAAAATGCTAGTCAAAAAGATTAGGAGTGAAACATAAAAAACTGGTACATGCATAATATTTAAGTATTCATGAATCTACTCCCAATTAATATCCTCTATATATCTAACATTGTAAACAAAACAATTTTTTTTCTTTTACCTGATCTGGGTCTTCCTTTACTGGAGGAGCTATTTCACTCTTGTATAGAATATGTGTCCATTGTAACACCTACATAAAAAATAAGAACAAATGAATAAATGTAAGTAAATACAATTTGAAGTTATCTTACAGTTCTTGCTTTCTAATACATTGAATTTAAAACTTAAAACCTGCCCTTGGCAACTGATTCTACCCATGTGACCAGTGCAGACGAGGATTAGACAGCATATCCATGCTGCCAGATCATGGTCTGCATTATTGGCTATTCAGTCACTATATATTTTGAATTATGCCAATAAAGAATGATGAATGATTTTGTCGAGATTGAAAACTTGTGATCAATGTTAAATATTTCTAATTGACTTTTCCAGCATTCATATTTTTAGAACTGTCCATTATCAATTATTTGCATTCTAAATTACCAACAATATATATATACAGTTGTTTGTTTAAAATCTAAATAACAGTATTCCATACACATATATATAATTTGTTGCCGTTAGCTGATGTTGTTATAAATTGTGCCCAAATCAATTTGTTCATGTTTCTTTTCATGCCTATAACTATTGTTTCTATGCACGGATACAAACAAAAAATCATTAAACTAAACTATTACTTCTGGGCATATTCAAAGTGAGTCAGCCAACAGTAAAGAGTGTGGACAGACTGTACAAATGTACAAGTTGGCCTGGCACTATACTGGTGACGAGGGCTAATCACCGTCAATTTTAGATGGGTATGATTTTGTTTGTTTTGATTTTGTTTTTACACCAAATTCGCGTTATTTTTTCAATAAATAATCATGTGCTATATATAGTAACATACTCTGAGGTACTGATGGAATCTCTTGGTAGAATGTAGATGACACACCAGCCAGCGTAGATAGATCAGCAAGTCCTCTAGCTCGACTGCCGCTAGGGCATAATCTTGTTTACAGAGGTATGATTCCCGGGCTATAGATAACCTATGAGCTCTCTGTACACAATCATTGTACTCGGATAGTATATGGCTACAAAAATAAACAATATTTGAGCCGCGTCACGACAAAACCAACATAGTGCGTTTGCGACCAGCATGGATCCAGACCAGCCTGCGCATCCGCGCAGTCTGATCAGGATCCATGCTGTTCGCTTACAAACCCTATAACAAGTAGAGAAACTGATAGCGAACAGCATGGATCCTGATCAGACTGCGCGGATGCGCAGGCTGGTCTGGATCCATGCTGGCCGCAAACCCATTTTGTTGGTTTTGTCATGACAAGGCTCATTTAATTATCAAGGCTGGAATTTAACACTAGTAGAATAAAAAAAAATGCAAGCTAGAAATTCAAACAAAAAATGCCAGAAGTTTTTCTCATAAAGCAAATTAATGTTAAAAATAATGTTAACATAAATAATTGATGTTAGACTTAAAGGAAATAAAATTTTAAGACAAATGACAATGTATTTTTTATAAATGATTCATTATTTATAGCAAAGACAAATAAATCAATCATATGTACCAAGTGTTTAATGCAACTAAAATTAACACTTTCTAATTCTCATTAGTTATTCACTTGTGAGCATTTATTTTCTATATTACCAGTTCTCAGTCTTTCTTATTGCTAACTTCTAAATGCTAATCAATGTATACTGGACTAAAGGTCGTCAACAATTTGTTGTTGTCAATATCCCAAGGAAAGAATAGGTAAATGGCTTGAATTCATATATGTATTTAACAATGACCTTTTTAAAGAAGAAACGGTAACAGATGAAAATCACTTTCAGTCACAGCAAGGTTAGTATAGCCTAAGTTCTAGTCTCTCGATTTTTTTAAGTTCTCCAAATCGACAGTTGATATTATTAAAAAACACGAACGAGTATGAAATAGCACATATGTTATGAACAAGCAAAAACTATCCACACCTGAATCCAATGAAGGGTAAAGACTAAACTTACCTCATTCTTTTCTGATATAGAGGATGCAGGGCCTCAATGGCAGCAGTGTTTTGACAAAACCTCTTCCACCTCAATAAATGCAAGTATTTTGACTGTATAATATGGTGAATTTTATCCACAAAATGCTGAAATAATGCCAATAAATGGAGTAAACTAACAAATTAAAATCAAACTGAATTAAATGTGGTAAAGTGACGGTTTAAAGTAGGAAATAAATGTAACCATACTTATTAGATGCAGTGCACTTACTGTTACTAACTGATACAAATATACTATTTATCAAACTGATAATTTTTTCAAAAAAAATTTATGCCTGATATAACTTTATGTAACATAATGTTGACTTTTTGTTAAAGTTGAAGAGTTCTAAATAAAACTACACAATGTAGACCCTATAAAGATTGTTTGATAACACAAATCCGAAGGATAGTTTCTAGCTTTTTAATGTTTACTGTCAGAGCAACAGATAAGCTTTAAAAGTGAATTGGGTATTACTCCATCATTTCCTTTGGAATTGGGTATTGGCTCCATTTAATTGGGTATTCCAAAACTCGATACCCTATGATTTCAAGATCAATTGGGTATTCAATTATGAAAATATGAATTTTATGGTTTCAATATCAATGAAATTTAACTGTTTTAAAAAGAAAATAGGATTAACAATTTACTAGAACTTTTCACAATTGTTTTATTTTTTATATAAAATGCTCATGTTATATTTCATAATATTTTTAACAAATTCGTTTTCTGACTGATTTTTGATTATTTACGATTGTTTTGTTTCAAATCATTTTCCCTTTTGTACGACGCCATATTGCTTTCAAAGCGTCTATTGATACAGGTGGGACCTACTTTTTGACTGTCTCCCCAAATCAACGGTCTCTGCCGGTCTGTAAAGACCGTCGACCTGAGTAGACAAACAACGGTGTCATGCTTTATTGATATGACTTAGTCGGTCTTTGGAGACCGGGGACCGTCGAAGACCGGAGACCGTTGATTAGTTAGCATTGATTCGGGAATATTCGGATAGCATGCATATCGCTATTATTTGTCCAAAACTACGTGCATACAACAGATTAATTTTACGGTGATGAAAATGACAATACCTAGGGTTTTTAAGACAATTGCGAATTTTATTTTTTTTAATGGGTTTTGATACGCATTCTTAAAAAATCAATTGCGTATTTTATGAAATTAATTGCGTAAATATGCAAATACGCACCTTATCTGTTGCTCTGGTACAAGTGTATTATAAGAAATAACTACATACAAGTACCAAAGAGGCAGGACATGCATTATATAAAGGAGGCGGGGCTTATCATAACTGACAGCAGCATACTACAAGAGTCACCACAAAAAAATATATATTTGATGTTACCTGGTGAATCAACAACGGCAAACTGGCAGAAGTGTACTCTAAACTTTCAGCGTTTAACATTTCTTCCTTCATCACATCAGCTTGTACAACTAGGGGCTGAGCTTGACTGACCTGTATAACAAAGGAATTAGAATTTACAACTACATCATTGTATACATTGTATATCCATAACTTAAATGAAGTTCTTCCTTTTGTAGGGTTGAAAATCATATCTGATTGTTCAGGTCATAATGCAACATTTGAATGTCAATGAAGTACATATAGGAGAGTACCACAGGTGTTCCTTAGTGCATATTTTTCTAGTATAACAGGGAAGCAAAGTGTTTTTAATTAACCATATGCAGGAATACAAGAAAGGTCTGGATCACCCAAATCAGGAAAGAAAAAAACAATAAACTATTGCATGATAATGATAACTACAATATAGTTTTGTTAAATACTTTCAATATAAAAGTATACAATCTAATTATGGTACAATAGAAAATATTAAAATGGTTTTGTGCACTGAATCATAAAAGACAGTTAAATGTTAAACATGTTAAAAAAAGGTGCTCAATAATATTTATAAATACAAAAGAATCAATTTAAGGTTTCTAAAACATACCTCCATTGCTCTATCAACAATGATTTTTCTTTCCGCCCTATAGTGAGACACATCTTTTGGTAGAGGCACAGAACTGAAACATAACAAGAGCTGTCCGTAAGACAGCGCGCTCGACTTTTTTATTGCTTGCCAATAAAAAAAGTTTTTGCAGTAAAAGGCAATACAAGAATCTCTGTATTTTTAAAGTGAACAATGGCCATAATTCAAATAAAATCTTTGACAGAATTACCTTCTCCTGGACATGTTTGGGAATCATGATTGTAAACAAGTATTCCAACTTTCAAATTAATATCTCAAACAGTTCAGTCAAAAAGTGGACTGGTACTAAAAACTTAACCAAGATTCTAAGTCGATAAAAGGCCTTAATTTTTAAAACAAATCCTTGACAGAGTTACCTTCTCTTGCGTACAGATGGGGGTAATGATGTGAAATAGCATTAAAAGTTTCAAAGCAATATCTCAAAGGGTTAAGGCAATAAGTGGATTTTACCCATATTCAATGTATTTTCTAAGTCAAAAAGGGGCATAATTCTGTCAAAAACCTTGACAGAGTTATGTCCTCTTGTCTGTTGATGAAGGTCGTGATGGTAAACAAGTATGGTCAGTTTCAAAGCAATACCTCCAATGGTTTTTGAAAATAAGTGAGGTGGTACAAAAAACTTAACCAAGCTCATACACTTTCTAAGTCAAAAAAGGGCCATAATTCTGTCAAAAACCTTGACAGAGTTATGTACTCTTGTCTGTAGATGGAGGTTATGATGGTGAACAAGTATGGTAAGTTTCAAAGCCATACTTGTAATACTTCTGAAATAAAGTGGGGTGGTACGAAAAACTTAACCAAGGTGTGACGCCAACGCCGACGCCAACGCCGACGCCGACGCCGGGGCGAGTAGGATAGCTCCCCTTTTCATAGAAAAGTCGAGCTAAAAAAACCAAGTTGATTAGTGAATACTAGATCAAGAAGCATACTTTCTTTATCTATCCTTTTACTCTAATTAAACAACCTATAATATGACAGAATAGCATTGTCACATTTTTATTTTTTGGTTGGGTTAATGTTGCAACAACACAGTTAGTCATATGGCAATTTTCCAGCTTTATTGGTTGGGCAAGACCTCGGGTGCCCCTCCATACATTATTTCAGCCACAAACTGGCACCTGAGTAGAACCACCAACAATCCGTAAATCAGCTAGGTAGCTTCCACACATAAAAGAATTCAATGTCCCTGGTATGATTTGAACCCACAGCATTGTCATATACATTTGTGCTACTCCAACTAATTGTACTATGTGTTGAGATATTGTGCTATTTTGTGTATGGGCAATATCTCCACTAGAGCTTGAAGCGAGATTCCGGCCAAAACAAAAGTATCTCAGAATCTAGCTTTGGTACATGTATCAAAATATTTTGACTATATCACATATATGTATGTACCAAACTTTCTTAATTTGTACCAAATGATAGAAGAGCTTCATTTTTAATTGCACTTGATATGCATAAAGGAAAGCCATGTACTACCAGTAGTGAATTAGACATTATTTGCAGTTTGACAAGCCTCTATTATTTTGATCATTCTTATTATCTTGATAATTAAATTTCCTAAACTGCATGAGTTGACATTAAATTTCCAAATTCAAAGCAATAAAAAGAAATTTGTAAGGGTAAGAGTAGGGTAAAATCATTTTAAATGATTGCTAGTTTAAGAAAAGAAGGTTTTTATAATTTCTCTTCTACGTACCTGACAACCTTTGATGGCATTTCTAATACTGTGTCATTCTCATCTATCTCTTGCTTTAGCTCTTCAAGCTCTTGTTTCAGATCCTTTTCCATGTCCAGCACTTTCTCAGTGCTTGAAGCATGGTACAAATCTGAGAGATGGAGAGCCATTGTGTCAGATTCTCTCTTACAGATGATTTAATCACATGCAATTATCTAAAACATTTTCATGGTGGATAAAGCTGCAAAGAAAAAATAATATCAATGAAAATTTGCATGAAAATTCAAGGTTTATCTATTAGAAATAGTCTACAATATGTCATAATGAAACAGCAAAAATATCCAAATATGTGTAACTGTTTTAATGCATGTATCCGAAATAATTTTGTCCGAAAAACAGTGCAATACGCGTTTTTGTATTCGGGTATTTTGTGATGTTTTTGAGTATCAATCTGCTCCTTTATTGAAATTTCTGTTCGTTGATGTATTGAAAATATATTCACCGTGTGAATTAAGGATGAAATCAGAAAGAAAACGATGAAAAATGAAATATTTACCTGCATAAACAAGTGCGACGAGTCGCTAGCAACTAAACAGGGGAGGTAACTGGTGTAAACTCTTTGATAAAAATTAGTATCCGGTATCCGGACAGCGATTTCTAATTTTGGGGAATTAATTCAATGTGACTTTGTAATCTTAAATAAAGTAGATATTACGACCAGACTAGACTTATGAATCTGTCCGCAGCTATTTTTTAACATTTTACCCAATACCATTTCTTCAATATTTATGTTTCTCTGTTAAATCATTCAGATTATTATGGGCTATGGGTTAGGGCACGGATTTATATTACATCTGTGGTTAGGGTTAGATGGTTTTGGGTAAGGGTTAGGATTTTAAACATGGATTTCTCTGTGGACAGATTCTTAATGTTCTCCGTAAATACTACTTAAAATCTCAGTATTTTACACGTGCAATCATAGCAGTATCACTTGTCTTGAAAATTTTACACTAAATATCATGTCAACTTTTACATATGTTTCCATGTGCGTTTTAAGGTGCAAATTGAAATAACTTTCTCGACAAAACCTCGCAAATGACGGTAAATTTTGGAACTTCTATTAATATCTCGCCATGAACTAGATTCTACATGTATAATTATCGTTTGTTTCTAGCGAATTTTCAAATGGCCCGATCAGGATTTTACTTCAAAATATAAAAAAAATATCGGCATAACCGAATTATCTGAAAACCAGAATCATGTACAAACCGGACGATTTTAAAAGTCCTGGTTGATATTCCTCCTTTAAAATAGAGAAAATAAGAATCCCTAAAGAAAGCCCAACACGGCAAAATTGAAAATGTTGCAGGCTCGGTTTGATTGAGCCTGTTCATTTCTGTTAAACTCATTGAAAAATCTTTCCCTGAAAACTGAAACCTCTGAATTTTAAAAAAACGGACAATTTCCTTTGACTGCAAATTAAGTAATACTTCAACTAATGAAAATAATTACACTGTTAGTTACATGTATACTTAATTTCTGTTTATTAAAAAATTTATCTCAGAGTAAGATATAAATACCATTAATGTACATGTAATTGAATAGCCAATTAGAAGTTTAATTTTAGAAATTTATACAGTTACGGTTTAGAGAGCTTTTACGTATTTATTTTATTTAATATTGTTAAATGCCACGTTAAGCAAAATAAGTCTTGAATCCTTATTTACTTTATATCTCTTATTCTTTAAATGTAAATGACAAAAATTGTAAGTAAATCTAATTTATTTAGAAAACAAGTAATAAAACGAAAAAAAATTAAAGTGTTTCACGAGAACACGGCTCTGTACCGTACGCACGTAATTAAGATAGAATCCGGGAACCAGGGTTTGTTTATATTAGGTTTATATTTATCGGCAAACAAAAAACATGTCTAATTGTTTATGTTGCGAGAATGATTCTATATGATTGGAATGCAAAAAAATACAGGCCAAAGTGACAAAGGCAATTTTTTTTTCTTAATCCTGGAACAATTAATCTATAATTGATGTCTCTCTAGTACTTATAGTCTGATTACATACATGTATATACACGTATTATTTCAGATTTATCCTTCATTAATCTGTTATTTTACATTTTCCATCTTGCAAAAGCCCTGATAATATAGCTATATAAAGAACTTTAGTTGTAAACGTGTCATAGTTATTAATAGAATTTGATTGTTTTCATGATACATAGTGGATAATCCATTGACCATTTAAGGTAAAACTTATTATTCAACAAAACTAATATAACATCAATATCTTCTCTGTGAACTACATGTATTAGTAATTCATATGAAGACCACACTGGCCGACGGACGGGAAATCAATTTAATAAGTCGACCTTTTGTTTGCATAATTCAGGTGCGTTTATTTTTGTATAATTATGTGTTATTGATTTTTAGTAGATTAATATCTTACCACATTTAGAATCATTATTTACATCAATATTTTACAATTTTAGATGACCAAAATCCTAATACCTGTACCTTAGCTATCACTTGTATTGTAACCTCGTCTTCAGCTAAAAGCAATTTACAAAGTTACAATTATTTAAGTACCATTGTATTATCTTTGCAGTGTCATGAGTTTCAATTACGCGCAAGATGATGACATTCCCGCGGTTGTCATTGACAACGGTTCACACCTCTGTAAGGCGGGGTTTGCAGGAGACGATGCTCCAAGATCCATAATTCCGCCTCTTATTGGCAGACCGCGGTACATGTACGAAAACTGGATGGTAGGCATGGATGGAAAAGACGCGTTCATTGGAGACGAAATACAAAATAAAAGAGATGTACTTGCAATTAATCAACCAATCAAAAAGGGTATCATAACCGACTGGGATGACATGGAGAAAATATGGCAATATATATTTGATAAAGAACTGCACGTGTCACCTGAGCACCATCCTGTGTTACTTACAGATGTCCCATTAAATCCTAAAATCAACAGAGAAAAAATGTGCGAAATAATGTTTGAAACGTTCAACACGCCACTATTTTCTGTTTCATTAGCGGGTGTCCTCGGGATGTACTCCTCAGGCAACTTTTCGGCTATTACACTTGATGTAGGTCACGAGGTCTCCCACGTGATTGCAATATATGAAGGATATATATTAAAACACGCGATTGATCGTATGAATTTTGGTGGTAATGATTTGACGGACTACTTGTTACAAATGTTAAATGGCGAACGAAGCCATTCTTTAACTTGCAATAGCGACAAAGAAATAGTTCGTAAGATGAAAGAATCATTAGGTTACACAGAACTTGATTTTGAGAAAACAATGAATTGTACCGAGTCTAGTATCGAAAATATATATGAGCTACCTGATGGACGTAGGCTTACAGTTGGGAACGAAAGGTTCCGGTGTACAGAGCCACTTTTTCAACCACATTTACTCGGCAAAGATTTCCCAGGATTACATCAGTTCTTATATTCTAGTCTTATGAAATGTGATATTGACACCAGGAGGGATATAATGCGTAACGTGATATTATCAGGCGGATGTACGATGTTCACAGGGCTGAGGGAAAGAATGGTTAAGGAATTGACGGATTTGGTTCCAAAAACGATGAAGGTGAAGGTTATAGCACCCCCTGAAAGAAAGCTAAGTGTCTGGATTGGAGGTTCAGTTCTAGCTTCTTTATCTATGTTCCAAAATCTCGCCATTTCAAAACTGGATTATGAGGAAAATGGCACCAGAATTGTGCATTTAAAATGTACATGAGTATAAATATATAGCTTGGTGTCATGCAATTGTAAATGTCTGTTAGTACAAGTATGTAAGCTGTTCCTTATTCACTTAACTGTTTTGTAAAATTAAGTTATTGAATGTGTTCTATGTACTGTGTAGACCATGTTATTTCACAACTTTAATCTGGTCATTTTTAGTCCGCCTCTTTCGAACAAAATCAAGCTTTTATGGTCGCTGCGTCGGCGACGTCGCCCTTAATTGTCGTGTTGCAAAAACTTTAATGTAGCCAATTATTCAAACACTTTATAAGTTGTAAACATGAGAGTTAGAATACTTGCTTATCTTGGTTATAGTATCTACAAGCTTTTGCCCTACTTTAACCTAATTAAAAATTTGTCAAAAGAGGTTTATTTAATAGACGAGCGTCAACAATTAACGTATGAAATTCCAATTCTTGTCTATACGATTCCTATTTCTATCACTTTTGTTCAGTTAATTAAATTTGCTGTTTTAATGTGGGACTGTTTAAGTATATACATGTATATATTGTGATTTTCAAGGTGACATTGCTAATTTATTTTGCCATTCAGCTGCTAGAGAATTTACAATCTCAACTGCTTGAAAATTAACTTAATTTCATTGCTTTGCCAAGTATTGTTTTATGGACAAAAACAAGTTATAAACATACCAGCAGACAACCATGAACTTTCCCAGTAACTTGTACAAACTGCCAACTTTCCTTTTTACATGTTCACAGTACACTATTGTCGTCAATTAATTTGTCACAGACGACATTTAGTTTCTCAAGTACTGTAATGGAGAATACGAGGTCAATCTACTAAACGCTACATAGACAAAGAGACAAAGCGGTTTTGTGCTGTAAATCACTTCTTGCTTCGATGTAATGTATGTCGGGCGGTATGGTATATAATATTATACATATTAGTTACTTCATTAATGATTGATAAATAAATAAATAAATAAGTATGAAATAGCTTTACTAATCATTCTTGTACGAAGTCCATAAATTTATGAAAGAAATGTTTGATATTTTTCTAAAGAATTCATTTAACCATTTAATCAAATTTGTTACTGATATACACATGTTTTAGTGATATAATGTGTATAATCTGGTATAAGATAAAGGAACGTATATTAGAGGAAAACAATGTGCTCGGTGGTCGACTTGTTGAGTGGCAGGAATGTGTCTTTTAACCAAGAGGTTACAGTTTACTCCCACCCCCTCATACTTTGACTGCTTATATATACCTAATAGTCTTTCAGGCAAATTTTAACCCGGGATGAATATATTGGTTTTACGACACTCCACCGAACCCTTATTTTATCTGGAATGAAGAATCTTAATTGGTTTTTTACAACAAAACTTTGAACACAATCACACTTCTGCGCGAGCTATTCAACCCATCAGTTTTTGGTAGCTTCATAACCTCCGATCCCCTTTCAAAATTCCATTTTATTTAGTTCCGCCCATTGCATGTTTTCTCGTTTATGGCACAAGCATTCTTTGATTGGGGAACATAAGGGAATTTGGCATTTCGGTATACAGTAAAAACCCTTTTGAGAGGTTTGTATAACTCAAATTTAAATGAATGTAACGATTTTTAACGTAGATGTCACTTAAAAACCAATCGGAAAAAAATGACAGTCTTTGCCTCCAGTATAAGCCAATTTAAGTGAGTTACATTTGCCACCAGTATGCAGTATAAGCATGGGCAGCGTTTACTAAAGCACTTACGCCTAAGATTTGCGTAAGTTTTAATGTCAGCGTAAAGTTACAAAAATACTTACGAAAAACTTACGCAATGTTAGTAAATCGCTGCCCTGGTTGTAAGTCTTTGCCACTTGTATAAGCCAGATAAGTAGTATTTTGTTTCTAGTATATGTCTTGAGTGAATAACGTTTTGCAAGTATAAGCAAAGTGATGAGCATAAGCCACGTGACTAGTATAAGCCAGGCAAACTTGAACTTACTGATTTATTTTCATTTTGATATCCCGGCAATAGGTAACTGACAGATTTTATTTATTAATTATTTTGCAAAAACAACGTAGAAGAAATAAAACGATTGGCGAAATTTTTAGGACTCGACCCAAGTTAAGAACTTGTGCAGGCTATTTCTGAGAAATGTCAGTTTCATAATATGTATAAAGATAAAATGCACCCGGACAGTGTTCGTAGAGAAATATATAACGGGGATTACACATTGTACCGAAAAGGTATTTTTTGTTTTTAAAAAATATCAAATGTTTACTCAGGCCTAATGGTATTCTTTTGTATGTAAATGTATATGTATTTTTCAATGGAATATAATTAAAAATTTAAAATAGATATAGCTTACTGTTTGAAAAACAAGAATAATTAAGTAACAAGGAAGTATATAAAGATTTCCTTCAAATAAATAAATATCTTTAGATACTATTTATCTATTTCTTTTCGTTATATTCGCAATGATTTGCTTAATTTGACATTATGCCAATCCAAGAGAAATATTATGAGTAAAAAGATAAAAATCAAACAAAGTTTACGTTTTGACATAATTCCTTTTTAATTCTTTTATGTAATTTGCATGGACGAAAAATAAATCACATGGCCTAAGGAAATTTCTACAAATATTAATATTATTATTACATGTTACGTTCAAATTATTTATATTTTATTTTTCATCATTTTCTTATCAACTGTTGATCAATCACCATTTGTAAACTAGTAGTCAATCCTATGAAATATATAGTCAGTTCAGCTCATCTTTACAAAGAAAAAATGAGCATAATGTCACTTTAATGGTTTTCATATTTCAGGAAAAGTTGGCGATTGGAAAAATTGGTTTACAGTGGCACAGAATGAGGAATTTGATAAACATTATTTGGAATTTGCTGCTAGTTGTGGAATGCGGTTTCAATTTACGTGACTGTAATGTACTGTAAAAATATGTGTTAAGATGTATGTCAGATATCCAAAGTCTTCGTCAGTATTTGATTTATTTTGATATCCGGCAGTTAAAAAACATGTAAAAGCGAAAAATATGCTCTTCTTCCAATGAATGTAAATCATTTCTATATGCAATGCATTGTAAATATTTATTTATATATTCTTCACATGCATGTACATTTCATTCATAACTATTTGAAAATTATATATATATATATATATATATATATATATTATATATATATATTATGTATTGATTGACCTTTACCTGAATTATGACTGGAGTTTCACATGCATTACAACTTTATAACTGTGATTACTTTATATATAACGTATAAAGTGTTTGTGATATAAACATTTGTATTACCTCATTAAAGGTTTCTTATATAATGTTTGTATGTCATTTTTATGTTTCTGTAAATAATGTTCGAAATTTCTCTCTATTTCCATACTTATTGAAATAAAGATGCAAAAATCGTTTTCAATTTGTCACCGATCATGACGTTTTAGGGAAATGTAACAGTTGTTAATTTCCCTCTATTTTTAGAATGGCATCCGTGGCCGTTGGTTTCTTGTGTTCTTACTAGCACCTAATAGTTGCAGGTACGAATCCCGACAGGGACTTTTGATTCATTCATGTGAGAGAGCTATCCATGCACCTAGCTCACAGAGAGTCGGTAGTCCTACTTCGGTGCCCGTTCCTGTCTAAAATAATGCACAGAAGGGCACCCGAGGTGTTCATCCACCAGTACTGCTGGAAAGTTGCAACATGAATTATACTGTGTCCGTGCGACGTAAAACCAAAAAACAAATAAACTAAAACAAATCAGGCTAATCTAATGTCAAATGTACACGAGTATAGTTCTGTAAATAGTTCTGATACAGTTTAATGCGCTTGTTAATTATCATGAAAATTTTGAAATGTATTAATATGCATAATATTGTGAAGAAAATGAAGCAATTTACACATTATCAATGGCACTTACAACCCAGATAAATCACAAAAAAAAAGAGATTGTTTTAAACATTTTTATTTAAGCTCGATTGCGAAACATACATTAATCACTTTCGATGTCATATGAAAATATGGAATACGTCCTGAAAATAGTACATTTGTAATTACCTTATGTGTATTTTTAGACCACTACATATACTGATGTCATGACAAATTGATTGACCTATTTTAAGAATTTAAATAAAATATATTTTTGCCGCATGATTTGCCTTTGGAGATAATATAATAATATGTGCTAATTTTTTTTCTCTCAACAAGTATATCTTCTACATATTTCGAAATGTTTATTTTCTATCTCATATTTCATGCTTTTCTAACATTAAATGAAAGCGTTCCTTCACCCGCTATTTATAACAGTAAATGCTGTTTATATAATGTCATACATGACACCTCTAGAATTACTTGTGCTCTGAAAGTCGATTTGCACGAAATTCACGCGCTTTTACATGGAAAATACTGTTTAATATAATATTTACTATTCACAATGCAATTTTGTTTTTATGCAACATCATGTTTTTCGACGCAAAGCATGTCTACTGTATACAAATATTGCACAACATATTTTAATAATTTGAAAACTTTGTAAATTTTCTACATTCTACGACAATCGTTTAACTAGAAGTACCCTAGTTAGAAGGTGGATTCATGCAGTTTTTTTTAAATAAAAAATAATTTATTTTTGTAAAATGTCTGTAAAGATAGAATCCTCAATGATTGAAAGTGAAATGACATTGCCTTATGTTAGGAGAACTAGCATGAATTCGCCTTTGGTATTGCAATGTCGCCGCACAGCAACACGACCATGAGATTTAATTTTGGCGGGAATAGTTTTTACTCTAATATAAGCTGATTTTTTCAATGCAAAGTAATTTGAATCAAATACATTTGATTCAATATATCATATATTTCTTTTGCTGTTGGTACTTTCCTCGTGTATAAATTTTAATTTCCACGTCCAACTCGAATTACCAGATGCGTGAATTTCACTATGGTTAAGTCTATTATTATTTTTAGGGGGTCTCGAACGTATAGAGGTAAGATAGAATTATCATATTCAAATGATCGTTCATTGATTACTTTTTTCTGGGATTTCATATTGAAACAACAGCACGTGTTTTTATTTTATATTGTGACAACAGGGAACGTATTTTTATTTTTGCCTATGATAGAAAAGAGAAAGAATTCTTTCTCATACACAAGTGTATGGCCTGCTCCGCGTGCACTTTATTATTCGAACAAAATGTGCAACATGCAACAAATATATGAAGCAAACCGACTCTTACCCACGTTATTTGTCACGTTCCTCCGTCATTATTCCGTATCGTACCCTTTCACATCGCTATATGCATTCGACACCCCCTTGTTCAATAATGAAAAGGTCAGAGAATCGAAATTTTCCCGAAGTACGGCGGAAAGTGCCGGAAATTTTTCCACTTCACACATTTAAGATCACGTGACCATTTGAGTTATGATCAACAGCCAACATTACTTTTGGAGGGAAAGTCGTACCGGGAAGATGAAAGGACTGGTGTTCCCTGATAGGAAAGTAAGTGTGTGGATTTTTACGAGTTATGTTGTTTAAATTCTTCATATATTTTCTAGCTACCAGCCTGTGTTGTGTGCCTTTTTAATTTTATAGCCACGACATTTGCACGTGATAATTGTCAATTAGAAATGATGTGCTATTTTCAGCTGATTTTTAGCTGTTAGTGTTCACTTATTATGATACATATGTTATTTTAGTTGATCTTTCGAGATTTGAAATGGGTTTGAGAAGTGGATTTTAGATCAAGCTGGCCAGCCGCGCGACGTTCTATACAGCGGCGGTTTTTGTTTATACTGCCCTCACACATACCTCGCGACCTTACTGCGTCCTAACTGCAACCTTGCTACGACCCAGGACGCAGAACAGTCGCCATGGACGCAGCAGGGACGCAGCGAGGTCGTAGCGAGGAACCCAAGGACGCACAAGGTCGCAGACCGTCGGCGACTATTTTGAACATGCACAAAACAGTCGCAGAAACTCTGCGTTCTTGCTGAGTCCTGGTTAGGTCGCAAGAACGTAGTAGGGTCGCCGTACAGTCGCAGGACAGTCGCCGGACAAACGCAATAGTCGTCGTAGAGTCGCCGTTAGGACGCAGAGAACATAGCACAGTCGCAGCTGGGTCGCCGATGATCGCCGTGGGGTCGTCTTGGGGACGCAATACAGTCGCAGTAGAAACGCCATGGACGTAGAAGGGTCGTATTGAGGACAAAGAGAAAACGTACTGAACACAAGACTGCAGAGCCCCGGACCGTCTGCGAGAGAAATTTGAATGAAAACCAACGATTTTCGAAAGAAAAATGCTATTTTACTAGTTTTCAGGTCGCAGTAAGATCGTGGTTTATGTGTGAGGGCAGCATTATATACAAACTGTTTAAAATATCTCCCACGTGGTGATGTATATACATGTACGAATTTGGTGCATATATATATATTTCCTACCTCTCGATCTTTACTAACAAATATATTTTTGTGTAATCTGTACATATACACAGTATGTTGATGTTGAAATGGGTTTATGATAGTCCAAAAAATGTTTTAAAATGTAATTTTTGCGTTGTTAGTGATAGTGAAGTAATTTAGTGATAAGTAAAGTGGTACAGAATTGTTGTTTTTCATGGCATTTCCTGTCAAAATGTTTATAGTATTAGTGTTATTTTAGTTGATATGTTATGAAATTAGAAATTGGGCTGTGCTCATCCAATTGTTTTAAAATGTGATTCTGCCTGGCTTCGCGCTGCGTTTACTTGCTATTTTAAATGTTCTAAAATTGCATAATACCTAATTAAAATTATCACATCCACCTATATAACCCTAATGTGCTCTCCTTTGTCCCTTCCTATATAAAATGTCAAAATGTTTATAGATTTCTTTTATGTATAAAATTGTGTTAGTTTAGTTGATAGGAATGTGTTTATGCTGGACAATGTTTTTAGATGCGAGTCTGGTCAGTCTGTGTGATCGCGCGGGTTTTTAGATATAATCGTGATGTTAGCTTGTGCCGAATTTTGATTTATACTTTTGTCATTTCTCTTCATTATTATAATCATAACCATAGTGCTGCATTGTATTTGATTTGATGCTAGTGTATTTGATATGAATATTTGTCTACCCACTATGAAATAGCTATAATGTGTATTCATTCATTCACCCAATCCCCACTCCCTTTAGACCTGTTGTTTGATGTATAAGCCACTCCTTTTAATGCTATGTTTATTACAGTTAAGAGTTTAGTTTAGAAGTCTTGTACATATTATGAAACTGATCAATTAATATGTTTGTGTTTTAATACCTATATTTTTTGTACTTGTAGATCTACAGTACTTGGAAGTTGCCAGGTTCTTCTAATTGTATAATAGAATTATAATAATATATTCCAATATTTTGTGTCTGGAGACCCCTTTGAATAGAAGAGGTTGGAGGGTCCTGATTGTGGTGGATAGACGAAGATGTGGATGGCTGTGTAACATTGGCAAAGTCTATGTGTTGGAATGTGGCATGATGGAGCAATTGGTAATTTTAATATGTTACTTGATTTTAAGGATTTTGTCATAATAACTCTTTTTTGTAAACAATTTGGTATTTCGTGTTGTGTGTAAATTTGTAAAAAAATTACAGGTATTATTGAGTATTTTACTATATTTTATTTGATTTCAATGGATTTTTCATTAAGAAAAGAACTGAGTTTAAGATAATTATTTTAATCAGTTGAGAATGTCAATTCATAATGTCAAATTGCTCCTCTTTGCACTTTAATGGTACTTATTTTCATCTGCCACATAACTTAAAACCATTAAATAACAAATAGTTACCTGTTTAGTAGGAAAGTAATTTGTAGAGATATTGTAGATGTTAGGGGCGTCTGTGGCCAAGTGGTTAAAGTTGTTGACTTCAAACCACTTGCCCCTCACCGCTGTGGGTTCGAATCCCGACAGGGACTTTGGATTCTTTCATGTGAGGAAGCTATCCAGCTAGCTTACGGAACGTTGTTGGTTCTACTCAGGTGCCCGTTCTTGCCTGAAATAATGCACGGAAGGGCACCTGTGTCCCCCTCCCCCAAAAGATATTGTAGATGTTAAAATTACGAGATTGAAATGTTTTGTTACCCCTGTGATCTTTTAGTCCATGGAGTTGCACCAAATATGATGATGGATGTGATCTTTCAGACCATGGAGTTGCACCAAATATGATGATGGATGTGATCTTTCAGACCATGGAGTTGCACCAAATATGATGATGAATATGATCTTTCTGTCCATGGAGTTGCACCAAATATGATGATGGGTGTGATCTTTCAGTCCATGGAGTTGCACCAAATATGATGATGGCTGTGTATATGTTGGAATGAGGCATGATGGAGCAATTGGGTATTTTACAAAACATTACTTTATTTTAAGGATATTATCATAGTAACTTTTTTGTACACAATTTGGTAATTTGTGTTGTGTAAATTGGTGAACAATTTCAGGTATTATTGAGTATTTTACTATATTTTACTTGATTTAAATGGATTTTCATAAAGAAAAGACCCGAGTTTAAAAAGATTATTTTTATTTAGTTGAGAATTACAGTTGATTGTCTATAGCTAGCTAGACTGGAGCATCAGTGGTTCTTTTCGTAATGTCCGTTTGCTACTCCATGCCACTTTTATGGTATATTTTTCATCTGCCACATAACTTTAAACCATTAAATGTGATGAAAATTTGGATAGATGATTCAGAAAATGGATGGTAAAAGCACACATGTGAAAGAGTAATGTGAAGAACTTGACATGCATGGTGGAAGTTGATCGAGACTATCAATTCTTCGAGAGGTCCAGCGACTTTATACTCGCAAGAAGGATATGGTATGGAATAGCTTTCTACACCTCTGGGCTGGCAGATTTGTAAGATTGGAAGTTGTTTCAGTGTGGGAGAGAGATGAACACTTTGTATGGTCAGGTAAAATTTGCTGTTGAAGTCACAAGTAAGTCTCAATAATGGCATTTCCATTTCTTGTTTTCTAACTAGCTATGTACTGGAAAGTTGGTGGTTCTACTCTTAAAAGGTGTCTGTTTTTGTCCCGAGTAGGTCTCAATAACGCCATTTCCATTTCTTGTTTTCTAACAAGCTATGTATTGAAAAGGTGGTTCTACTCTTAAAAGGTGTCTGTCTTTGTCCGAGATAATGCCATTAAGGCACATTTTCCTCTACCTTTAAAGCTGGAAAGTCACCAAAATAGAATGTAGAATTGTATCTGTTTAATAGAAAAATTGCTTAGGTTACTTTTTGAGATTGCAATGTTGTTCTGTTAACCCCAGTGACATTTCAGAAAACCCTTGCAACATGTTGGCTGGATTTCTAGATTGATGTTGGAAGTTGTGATGATGGATTTATGTCAGAATGTTGATGGTTGTGTGACATTGGTGAAGTGATTTTTATGACATTGGTGAAGTGTGATTGTGCTGGAAAGTGACATGATGGAGCATTGGTAAATTATCTATTTTGAGTTTGTGTAAGTCACAGGACAACTGGAGTGCAACATGTATGGAGGTTCAATTTTTCAATAGCTTAGTAATAAATCAGTTACACATTCAGTAGATTGGAAATGCTTTTGTAGCTTAAAAGTCTATAACTAGGTAGACTGGAATGTTGGTTGCTATACTCTGTTTGGTACCAGCCCTTGCCTGAAACAATGTAGATTTGGGGCATAATTTCCTACCAATAAAGGTGGCCAGTCGCCATATGACTTGAGAACCAACTTAACTATCTCTTTTGGTTTAGTTAAAAGAGTTTGTTTAAAATATGGTCAATGTTAACATTTTGAGATTGGAATGTTGTTTTGTTAACCCAGTGACTTTTCAGTAAACCTATAGACCATGGAGTCTGAATGGCTTGAGTGGCATCAAATGTGATGATGGATAGATGTCAGAAAATGGATGGTAAAAGCACACATGTGACAGAGTAATGAAGAACTTGACATGCATGGTGGAAGTTTATCGAGACTATCAATTCTTCGAGAGGTCCAGCGACTTTATACTCGCAAGAAGGATATGGTATGGAATAGCTTTCTACATGTCTGGGCTGGCAGATTTGTAAGATTGGAAGTTGTTTCAGTGTGGAGTGAGATGAACACTTTGTATGGTCAGGTAAAATTTGCTTTTGAAGTCACAAGTAAGTCTCAATAAATGCATTTCCATTTCTAGTTGTTTAACTAGCTATGTATTGGAAAGTTGGTGGTTCTACTCTTAAAAGGTGTCTGTCTTTGTCCGAAACAATGCCATTAAGGCACATTTTCCTCTACCTTTAAAGCTGGACAGTCACCAAAATAAAATGTAGAATTGTATCTGCTTAATGGAAATATTGTATAGGTTATACTGTTACTTTTTGAGAATGCAATGTTGTTCTGTTAACCCCAGAGATATTTCAGAAAACCCTTGCAACATGTTGGCTAGATTGATGTCGGAAGTTGTGTTGATGGATTTATGTTGGAATGTGGATGGTTGTGTGACATTGGTGAAGATTTGTCAGATTTGGAGTTGCTCCAGTGTGGAGAGAGATGGAAACAGTGTATCGATTAAAAAAACTACTCAAGGATGTCACAGGTACGTCTCATTATATATTACAAGTCGGGACACAGTGTTTATAATAAAATACAGTCCATCCTTGATATTTCGAATTGCTTTGGATTGAAAATAATTGATGGGTTAAATTTGAATAATCAAAATACCAATATAGTGATGACAACAAAAATTCATATTATTAGTCAGTCAGGAAAAAAAAGAACAACAGAAGATGTGTACAAAATAAAGTTTTATTGGCATATTGAAGGCATGAATATTTGCATTTTATTCTCCATTATGTAGAACATGTAGTTACATGAAAATTATGACTGTCATCTTCAAGCATTTACAGTAATAACACAGTGTATAATATATAAGTTTTAACCATAAATAAGATACATATTCACTATGAAAATATCTTTTGTTACTGCACACAATGCACTGATTTGAAATAAAAAAAGAAATTTTTCAGTATTCATATACAAAAATATGGTAGTATTTGCTTGTTTATTTATTTCTCTATTTTAATTGTTAACTTTCATTTTTAATAAAAAATTAGTAAATTGAATGCTTTTAACCATCCAATAATTAAATGAGAAATAACTGGCTTGCAGGTGATTTTCGGTAATAAAAGAAATAAATAAAAAACAAGAGTAATCATCACGATTGTCTAAATACATGCACGCGGGTGTAAGAAATTTTTCACAAGTTGGGAAGGTCAGTGCTGGATCAGTGTCAGTTTGTCTGGCTTCGAAAAATAGATGTGAATTTCTTTCATAATTGTAAAATCAGACCAAAATTTTACTTAAAAGAATAAGAGGTATTCAGTTAATGCATTTGGAATAATACGTTTGTATTTATATTGATTTATATAATACTGCACGTTTGTAATGTCCATTTTTGCTGTATAATCGTGATGTTTATATAAATGCCTGCTGTCAATTGATAAAGAAATCACACTTTTTTCTCTAAAAAAGAAGTTTGCAGTATAATAAATTCCTTATAAATATTCCTGACAGGTCATATGGCCAAATATAAATGGTTGTTTGCAATATAACCCTCTTAGCGGCCTTATATTTCCAAACAACCATTTATATAGGGCCATATAACCTTTCAACATTCTTTATAACTAATAATATAGAGATAAAAACAGTACTGCCGATCTACTTGGATAATAACGGGTATTGAATAAGGGGTTGTCGAAATACTTTGGTTGGACTGTAAAAGAAATCCTTGTGCAAAGCCAGAATGATATTTCTTTACTTCATTTATTTATAACTTGGATGAAGAGAAATTTCTGTATAGGTTCCAAAAGATTTAAATACCAAGCTATTTATTCATGTATCCATCAGCAAGCCTTAAAATTAGCTTTGTATCCCCTCCATGACCCACGCCAGTTTTGGTAAGGTTGGTCAATAACTATTTTTTAACCAAAATATTTTTTCCTTCCAATGTTATATGGTATAAGTTATATATAAAACAAATTGTGAATGTTCAACATCTGTTAAAAGGTTAGAACCATATTTATTCAACATATATCCAAATTTTATCTTTACAACTATAAAAACAGGAGACTGAAATAAAGATGTGACACACTTGTTGGCACCCCTCTGTTTTCATGTTTAGTAAAAAAAAAGAATTTGCTAGGCAATTAAATTTTTTGGGTTGCTGTAATTTTGGTGGGTATGTTGTTGGAAGGGAACAATATTTTATTTTAGGCCTCATCAAACTGAATATGCATACACAGAATGATATAATTTATTAGAGGTAACTTAAGAAATAATATTCATTATGTAAGAACGCCTTAGCGTTGGAATAATGGCCACTTCCTTTTTGATATGTTTTGGGTAAATTTTCATAATTTGTAGACAGTTGATTCTCCTCTAGTTATTTCCATTTCCTTTCCAATTAATCAAAATTATTGATTTTTTCAAATGTATCGATTATTGATCTACAAAAATATTAACAGTACTTTGATATCGTCTCTATCGATGACAGCTTCTATTTGTCACAGTTACACACATGGCAAAGTAGAATGCATATGATTTATAGAGAATAACATGCTACTGCCATTTGCTATCAATTTAATATGCATTTTTTTTTGACAGATAACTCTGACTAGTTTTGCTAAATTGTCTCCCTTTAAATTTAAAATAGTTTCTTTATATTTAAAAACAAAAGCATCACACATTTGCTATAAACCTGCTATCAAGGACAAGTAATTCTGCCCCCTTTTCTTCTTTCGTTTTAAAGGGGAGCAAATTGCTGGTCTTGTTATTTTGATAAAATTGGTGGTTGGTAGTTTTACACTCCAGATCAGGGCAATAAGCCACATTAATTTACCAGAGCTCAATTCGGCCACTGCATTGCTGTCATGCATGTTTACCTGTACTGATTGCCTGATTTTTCACAAGGAACTGATAACTTTCTGTTCATGCCAAGGCAGCGGTGCAGCGTGAATGACCATAGGAAGAATTTCATGATCAATCACATTGAAAGTGACCTGCATTGTCAGGGAATCGAAGTCAGGTCACCAGGGTCCAAGGTAACATAGAAATCCTTTAAGCTCAAACTCGGATCTCAGGTTTCTGATTGGTCAGAAACTCCCACAGAATGTGGTCAGAAACTCCCACAGAATGTACACTGACCAATGAGAATCCTGAGATTTGAGACAGAACTCAGAAAAAAAGTTTTATAACCCCAGGGCCTGATTCATAGTCCAACACTTTGCCTATTGAGCTAACCGGATGGCTATTTTGATAATTTGTCTAATTAATGCCATTTATACTTATTGTTGATACTCTAGTTGGTCATCATTCATGTACTTGTATTAAATCATACTGATATTTACAATTTCTTCTGTATTTTTCTTGTAGGAGATCTGATGGTTCATCGGAAAATGGTGTAGTGTGTGTGTGTGTTGATCTGACGGGACAATTATTCCATTATATAGTAAGAAAGTTTCAATGATTTACAAATGTATTAACATTTATTAAAAGTTGTTTCATGTCGACAGAGAACCACCAACCTTTCATAGTTATGTCTTTAAACTTTAAAAAGTAAAGAATTTAGCAAAATATCATTAAAAGGAAATTATTTATCAGTTAAAATAATTTATTTGAATATATTAGTTGTAAGGAATGTATAATAACTAGCATTTCTCTTTTTAAAAAATAGTTGTTAAATGGTGAGTACTAGATGATATTTTCCATCATGTTATCAAGACGAGAGACAAGGCGGTAAGAATTGCAATGTTTTTTTGTTGCTCAGCATTGTGAAAGACGAGGCAAGTACAGCAGAACAGAGGTAAAATATTGAATAGGTGAAATATTGTATTTATTGTGGCGGGAGGGACATTAATAAATCTCATTATGAATAATATGTTGTGGTTAGTGAAATGAATAGAAAAAGATATAGTGAATTGCCTGGAAAGAAATGAGAATGAAAACAGTGTGAAGTTTTGGGAATATGAATAGGACATGAAAAGTCAGTGCAGTGAAAAATGGAAGCAGTGTTTGAAATAGGAAAGATATGAAGGAACTGCAAGAGGTCAGTAATAGACATTTTTGAAAAGTGGAAATTTGAAAGTGAAAAATGAATGAAAATAAATGGAAAGAGAGAGAGAATACATGGAAATTTGAATGGAAACAATTGAATAATACGAGTCAAGGAAATGAAAAGAACTAGAGGAGAGTTGAATGAAATGAAATGTGAAAGCAAAAATAATTTATCATATGTGAAAAGCGAATGAATTATAAAAGAAAATCGAGAAAATGTAGATGAAAAAAGATAAGAAAGCAATTGACTTTCTAGACAGATCAACTTTCTGTAGAAAGTCAATTTCAGGTGATTGTTGTTTGTTTGCACCATCCCATCATAGTTCTGCTATGAAGGGAAAGTGCATGTATGACAGATTTTCTACTTTATTCTCATCTAACTTTATCTAGATCTTTACAAAACTTTCTTTTCTATACAAAGATTTCCCCACTTATTGACCAGACAAGATTATGAAGGTACTGACCATTGGTCATTGACATATACCAGTTGTGACAAACCTCTCCATCAAAATATTTGTTCTTACTAGCTTTTATAATGACATTGACCATGACATTGACCAATTAACAAGACTTTACGAACCAGTCATGGCTTTCCCTATAGTTATTGATGGGGGAAGCTTTTTGACTAATTTACTTTTACTACTTAGGCCCATGCAACCTTAGACCAAAACTTTTTCCGGTTATTGGTCAGACAGAGACATTTGGCATTTATTGAAGCTCTTTGGCGGCAGTTGAATGGTGGGAGATGTGTGTACTTGTGACTTAAACCTCAGTGTCTCTTCTAGGACTTGTTAATGCGAAATTCACACTATTTTTTCAAAAATTGCGCACATTTTGGAAAACCGTGTGTGAAATCCTGCATCTAAATTCATCAGTTTTCTCTAAAAGCATAAAGGTCTAGAAAACTTGTTTTGTTTACATGAACACGGGGAAGCCAAAGGGAGGTAATTGTGAACTAAATAAACAATCTTCTTCACAGTGATCTTCCCTTGTTAGTATAGTGATTACAATCTGCCAAGGGAGGTAATCATTGGGAGGAGTTTGTTAAATAAAATATTTTTCGTTGACAACTCCTTTTTCTATAAAGTTTGTGACAGCACTTTTAGAATCTGTTTGCAGCAAAATTTATGTTAAATAATCCTAACTCTAACCCTAACACATAACACTAACCCTTACTCATTACTCAATATTAATAATAATGTGTAATATGATAAAAATAGCTGCAGACATATTCTAGATGAGCCGTCCCTGATCTGTTTTTACGAATAAAAACCCAATCTAGCTACTTTTTTATTTTTTAAGAAAATAAAAAGATAAGCTCTGGCTTGATAAAAACAACATTGAATTTTTTTACACAATTACTCTTTTACTGGCACCCCTTGTTTTTGAACAACCTTTTTTTTAATGAGTGGGGAAATTCACCCGTACCTTTGAATTTCTAGAATAGATACTGAATCCTACGACTAACTGTGACCAACCCTACAATGTACAGTGACTGACTTAAATCCATTCAACATTTCAGAGCTTCAAAGGTTTTGACAATCTCAACACTTCTCCCAATGCTGCCTAGTTTTAAAACAGCACACTCACAGATTCATATTGTTTCAATGTGTAATATTTTATTATATGTCTAAATGATTTAGTAAAATATTTAGATTTAATGTTCTTTAGAAAACTTACAAAGTCAGAATTAAGACGATGTTTTCTTTAATGACTTAGTTTTTATTTATCAACAGTGTGTAATATTTAATTAATATTAGAGTAAAATTAGTAAATCAATTCTATTTATTTGCCATAAGAAAGCAAATTTTGACTCGAATTGAAAAAAGTATAATTTAAAAAAATAATCCTGAATTAAAAAATTAAAAGATACACAGATGTGTGCAGTTTTAACTACTAGCATGTCCCAAGCCATGGTAAAAGCAGAGGGGGAGAAAATAGTCTTGTATTTGTGATGACCATTGTTATTGAAGTGAATGTAATATGTTAGCAAGGAAAAGCTGTGAATTTATTCGATTCTCTTAAGAAAGACAAGTTTATTATGTAAGCAAAATTAAAAACAAATCATTTTGCCAACAATATAGAACATGTTTTTTTATAACAAGTTTTGATGTGTAAAACAGTATCAACATACACACCAAAATCGTTTCATTTGAAAATGCGTATAAATAGATTCGACCCACAAATGTTCATGACCATATTTATTCTGTTGACACCAAGTCTGTCTGCTTGCCTAGCTCATTAGGGAGAGCATTATTTTCATAATCCACACTGGTTCCATCCTCTGACAAGGCATAATTTCACCATGACAATGTTATTTGGAACTCGGCAAATGTACCCCCTCATTAGCTTGGAAATACCCAAAATATTCTTTTATTCCGGAGTAAGTCTGTTGATCTCAGATACTGTGCCAACTGGTCATTTAATTGTCTCTTATTGCTGATTCTGAAATCATTTGAGATTAGTAGTTGGGTTATTTGTTGAGAAACTGGTTAGTTATCAAAGAAAACTCCTAATGGTGATCAACCTCCAAGATGTGACCAAGACATGTTATTGTCGTCTTAAGGTAATGCTTTCCCACCAAAACAATTCTATGTTTGTCAATACGGAACTTTATTTTCTCAAACTCTTTTGCAATAGATTATAAACAATCACTCGTCCTTTATCACTACCGGTATGTACTTAATTCTTGTTATTAATGGTATAAAATTATTGAATACCAAAGACTGTGAAAAATCTCATCTCTGAAATGACCGATTTATTATGGTATTTGCCAATGTAAAAGAATTTGGGCAAGTAAGCATTACAGTATGACTACCTTAAAGTCGGAGTTAAATCCAGAAAGATAATACAAATTTGGCACCCAGTGAAGTTCCAGGTTTTACTTTAAATGGTTCAAATAAGCAATATACTTTGTTCACTATCGACCATATATAAATGATGATTAACCTTAAAGGAACTCCACTGAGGTCCAATAGCCTTAAATAATAAATTATGAAATTCTTTCTTACATCAACTTGTACTCTTAAATTTGAAACCAAACAATAGATGATAATTATATAAATACACACAGTATTAAATTGATAATCAACTTTTTATGCGATTTTTGGCTGATTTGAGTGAAAAGCGTTGCAACTGAGTTTTCATTTTTTGGACCATTTTCCACAAGTAAATTAACTATTTCTGGAAATGGAATGACACATCTAGTTATACAAAAATTTTGGAAAAAAAATTTGGTCCCTTCAAGTTGGAGTCCCTTTAATTACAAATGAAAATGTTACCAGTAAAGATGGATCTATATTCATTTCAAGGACAGCTAGATTATATTTGTCAATTTTGACATAATGCCATCATATTTAAACCATCTTTTGTGTGAGTGAATTTAATATCAACGGGCTTAAATTTGTAGTGTAAAAATAATCTTTGTGTACATGTTATCTTTTTCATGAACATCTTGGAATTGGAATCAATTATGACACATTATATTCTTATAAATGATACTGAAAATTATATCAGCATTTTTCTTACTCTTGAATTAGTATTTAAAGCTACATGCCTCCAAATGAGTCAAATTATTTCAGGACAATCAAGGTTGTAGTGCAATTTTTAGGAAAGGAAAAGCATCGAGGTTCATGTAATAATTTACATGTGTGCAATTAAGGAGTGATTTCATTGTAATTATCACCATATTTCTTTTGTTTTGCTTACATTGCAGCATTATGAGCTATTTTTGCATATTTTGACCGTTTTTTTTTGTTGGTAATTTACATGAATTGTGAGTGTCTGCACTCTTTGTCCACTTAATAATATTTTACTTTGAAATACATTTTCATGGAAATTGGCATACATCTGGAGGTAAGCTGCTTTAAGGATAGAACATCCTTCCTTTAAGAGCAGAAATTCTCGGTATTTTACAGAGGTTTAGGTTTGCAAAAAACATTTTAAAAGATTTAATTAAAATTTTAAGCAGGGGTCTGTTTAAGAGCCTAAAAGTAAAATATTAATAATTATTTATAGTATATTCTATTTTAAGGAACTTGGAAATGGGACTGCAGATTGTGGCTTATATTTCCTATCCTGTAACGGCTTTTAAAAATGTTTCTCACATCACATCTCTCTTGTGCCCAAAATTAAAAAAAAAACATACCAGATTTGCTACAATATTGGCCTATGTTATAATGTTTTTGGCAGGAAAGCATTACACTAAGACCTTCAAATCGCCAAAAATTCATTAAAATTTGAAATTCCTACATAGAGCATTTTGGGCACTGAGTATGGAAACAATGTGAGAGTTAATAAAGAAACACACTTGAATTTGATAGATAATAGATTTTTTTGTGTGATTTTGATGTCCTATTATTTGAACAAACAGCGTCTGCTTACCTTATCATGTTTTGTTCATTTTTCACTCTTATAACAGAAAATAACCGATTTGCTACAGTATTGGCCAATGGTAGAATTTTTTTGGTGGTAAAGAAATTTACAGTAAGACTACCTTAAGGAATTTCAAATAAAAAACTACTAGCTGATGAAGAAATGATACCAATAATTATTTATACAGTGAAAAGATAATTTTTTTGTTTTAATTAATAACAGCCTGGTAACAGCATTGAACCTTCAAATGATTCTGGGGAACTCCCTGCTCATGGAATATAGAAAGCATGTATGAAAGCATGACACAAGTTGAACTACACAAACTTTGTGTCATTTTAAAGTCTCTCCCACTCTAAAAATGCTCTTAAAAAAGTGTTTTATCCTAAGTTATCGTCAATGAATGGATTTTAAATGCATCCTTGTGTTTATTCAGATGGTAATGCGGAAAAAAAATAACCCTTAGATATTTTACCATCTTAGATTTGATTTTAATTATTGATCAAGCATTCTTAAAGGGACTCCACTAAGAGTTTTTGACATGATGGGACAGGAAATAATTTTTCAAGATAGATGTTTCATTTGATGTATGTTTATTCCATTAACTTTTGTGCAAAATTTCAGATTATTTGCTCACTTTTTTCTTCCCAATTTCAACAAATTACCCAAAACTGAAAAGCATTACAACACTTTTCACTGAAATTAGGATATGAATATCACATAAAATACAATTTTCAATATATTTTGGAATTATTTGATAATTATTTTTTGCATATCTTTCTGTTTTAAGGGCCTAAGCCCATCTATGTAAGAAATGTAATTCATAGCTTATCTTAGGCTTTTGGAGTTCCTTCAACATATATTTATATTGTACATTTTTTTTGTGTGTTAAGAAATGCTGTCCTGTTTCTTAGTCTTTCTTAAACTAAGAATATTGATAAAGAAAATTCTTACAATAATTTCTTTTGAATAAATATGAATATTGATAATACATTTATGGTATGATTCATATGTCCTTTGAAAAAAAAAAGAACATATTCTTTTTCTTCTCTGTTTTATGATTAGCTGATTGATGTGTTATGCTATAAGTAGCAAAATAACTTTAGTGACAAAGACTCAAACTCTATAAAAAAAAAACTGTTTCTTCCAAAGATGGTTTTCACTATGAATTATAAATCAAATATTATATTTTACAGGACTGATGCTTGCTGAACAAGTTGTTAAATATTTGATAGAGGATCTCCATGTGAATTAATACTGTGACATTAAAAACTGTATACATATGGCAACTGATTGATACAGAGTTGTGTGCTGGGCAGTGCCTTGTGGGGGACAGGTAGAGGAGCATGTTGATTGAAGTGTTGAAGAACCAATTCAGACATTGTTTATGATTGGTAAAGAACATCAACTTGAGCAGTTTTTATAAAAGATTAATTAAATATTCATTATTTTATTACATTCTTGACATTAGATCACCCTCTGTGTCAAATTATGTTCTACCACAGGGCAGCAGTAACATAAGCAAAATGGGGCCTATACAAAAATGAAACATTTTGATGGATTGGGAAAATGGGTTGAGTGTAAAAAGTTTGAAATGTTAGGTGTTTTTAACACATTTTTAAAAATTCATCATTTTTGCATTGTAATTTTAAGTTTATTTGAAACATAAATATAGTTTTTATTCCCTTATCGATTTAACCAGAGGTGACTT